GGTTCTCGCAACAGCAGAAGCTGTGAAGATTGACCGAGCACAGGGAGACGGTCTTGTTGCCAAACGAGAGAGGGAACGAGTGAAAAATACCATTTTGAATTATTGTTTTATTATTTGTAGTTGAAAAAAGTGTTGATTGATTGTTGAATAAGTAACAAAGAGGATATATCTGTTGTATGGAAGTTGTGTTAGATGTATGTATATTTAGGAAAGTGCGGGGTTCGGGATGTATTAACCTATATTGGCAACCACTGTTAGTAACATGTACATCGACCAATTGACAAGATAAATGGAATGTGAGGCTTCAAGGATCAGAATAGAGTTTGGAGGATGCCAATGGTGTTGATCTCTTGACCATATGAAGCTATCCATACTTCCCATCTACTGTTGTTGTCGATGGGAGGGGTAGAAGCTTACCTTTGTTTTGAATGTCTGATATATGAAAAAGATGAAGATGTAGAGGAAGTATACGACCACGAAGACGGGAGCAGCTCTTCAATATATATAATGTTCGATACCTTCGCTGCCTCCGATACCCCTCAATAAATTCGGGATATCACGACTACATTCCATAGTAAGAAGTCTTGGTATTTTCACCACTTCCCCTCTTTTTCCAACAATATTTGGTCCAAACTATCCACAAATGAAAAGTGGTCGACTCGGAGGACATCATCGCATTCTCCACTTACAGCACATAAATAACCAACGAGGTAACTGGTACGAAACTCATGAGACTCGGAGAAGGGAAAAGAATCAATCATTCATCGATCGTCCTGCCGTGTTTGGCTGTATTGTGTGGTCAAAGGCCCATTGCCAAATTGGTCCGCGTTTCCGAATGGCAACGGTATGATGGCATGATGGTTGGATGGGTGAATCGGTATTCGGATTCTTTGGACTAGTTGGTCAAGGTGATTTCTCGTAGATTCGTAGAATATTTCTAGGGGTAGCTCGGTAGCTTTACGGGGAGCTATGATTCCGCACGTTTCCGGTACATGTATGGTCCACTTTACTCAAGCTAAGCTCAGGAACAGAAAGAGCTTCACGTAGAAGTGGATGAGAGACGATGCATTACATTGCTCGCCACTATCTAGAACGTTGGGTATGTGATGATGATCATGAAGCACACGATGATCATGTAAAAGTATGGAATCTATGGAATCTATGAATGTACTATGAAGCACATGGTGATCATGCACAAAGGAGAGAATCTATGGTAGTATTGTGAAGCATTCGATGATCATGTAAAAAGTATGTATGTATGCCCTATGAAGCTCAATAGACTGACTGCCAGTGACTGGTCGATGTTTCACCAGGTAGTGATAATCAATCCCATTCTTAACCTTTACCTCTTTACCTCTAAACTTCACCCAGCTAGCTGTCTTCTCTTCCCCAACCCGTTGTAACACATATGCACCTTTCTGTCGTCTGGCCTCTAGACCTGCATCATAGACCCTACATATCATGTCCACTCACTTTGTATGCATATCGAGAAACTGGCATAGCTGTCCTTCTGTTTGCTTGTTTGTCTGACTATCTGACTATCTGACTGACTGACTGTCTGCCTGTCTGTCTGTCTGCCTGTCTGCCTGCCTGTCTGTCTGTCTGTCCTTCTGTTTGCTTGTTTGTCTGACTATCTGACTGTCTGTCTGTCTGCCCTCAAATGATCATTTCCCATCAATTCTCCTTCCTGCGGGCCTGCGGGGTAAAGCGTTATTGTGTTACATCACATCCCAAGTTCCCAACCAATTACCCGCCGGACATCTCTCGGCGTGGACCCCACCAGCCATTCGGTATCTTATCAAAACCACTCGCTGGTACCATGCGACTCTCCGAACTTCCCCTTCATTCTACATACGTAACAAAAATTCGGTATCTACACATCATCACGATAACCAACATCGAGAAATCTCCGTCTACCATGGACGACGCTCCAAATCTGGTCTGACCGTGCCGCGAGCGTGCTTCAATTCCGCGTTCAATAAATGCACCTCAGAAGTTACGCGGGGTATAGGTCGTGAACAGATGTGCATCCGTGCCTAGTCCTGGTTCGACATGTGCAGTGTGCAGACCAGTCAACGTTGAATGGGTGTGGTGGCATTGCATTTGGGGTCCAATATACTTCTTGGCAATGTTCGAGACCGATGATATGATTTGCACGGGACCAAGAATAGGGCGGCTTCAGTGGCAGGTATCCGCGGTAATTAAGAGGCCCTAATTAGTGACTAGTACACCTTGTTGTCTTCATATCCAAATCAAGACGAATTAATCGGGTTTCAAAGTCGCAATGTAGTCTTGGCAATCACTCCCTCATTTTCCTAAATTAAGAACGTCAATCAAATGAGTTTTTTGCATGTCAAAACGCTCAGTGGTCAAGATACGGACTCTGTTCTAATACAACGACTTAGTTATTTCATCTTTTGGATGTTAATGCTTCCACAATTGCTGCCAAACGCTTCACGAAAGAGCGACGCGGTGTATAGAGCAGAGAGCAGACAAACCTCCGCATTGGAAACTTCGCATCTCTGAAACAGGTTAGGTGGCTCTCAAGATTGTTCGAGCTGTGATGGAGGTTGAAAGCCAGCCTTCAGAGAATCTTACGGTGCATCACTACAGAGCAATGATCTCGCATGGCCGTGTTAACCAAGAGCACGAGAAGAAAAATTTAGAAGGCCTACATTTAAACCCAAGGGTTACATCTTGCCTCCTCCTCTTTCCGAGCTTTGGAACTCTTCTTTGTCCCCTAGAAGTATTCCCGTTCCTCTTTATCTGCTCAACCCTCCAAAGTAAACTCAAACTTTCCTTTTCTTTGGATTGAAAACGGGATCGGAACATTTGGAGATTTCTCTTGATAGTCTCGATTGAAAAATACCCGTTCAATCATCTATGACACAAACTAGAAGTAGTACGAAAGCCGTTTTCTCTTTTGGTCAAGGAGAGGAAAGGAACTAGGTGAAGTGAAGCAAAAATAGGTATGCATAGTTTGCAACGCGATCATTATATTCGTGCTTCAGCTTGAACATTTGATCACTATGATATTTTGCTTCATAACTAAGATTAAGCAATCTTAGCTTTCTCATTCAGATCTATCTTGCTTCATCTTCTCAATCCATAAATTTCGTGTACCCCCCTCCTCAGTTCTCAGATCACACGAAAATCTTTCATACTTTAATAACCGATAACTCCTTTCCATTTTTTAAGGACTTTTTCAGTCCTGATGTCCCCCACCCAGCGCCGGTATCTCAAATTCAATTGTATCCAGAACAATCACATTCATAAGCAAGGATCGGTATTGATACAAATACCCTTGATCACAGATCAGGAGCAATCACTTTGCTTGTTCTGAAGGGGTATTCACTCATAATTCTTTCATCAAATTGTTCCCAGCCAGCAATGTAGTTATGTCGAGGGCTTTTCCAATCTTTCATTTCTTGTTCTAGTTCGAGATGAAGTACATGAAGATATTGTAGATCTCGACAAAGATTTGGAGCTAAGACACGATATTCAAGCTCGGAATGAATATTTCATGTTGTTCAGAAATAGTACCTATCCACGATATCGTAACCAATCACGAAAGTGATCCCTATAGAGCACTTTGCCGCTATTCTCCTGTTCGCTTGTTTCGACATGTCCTATCGCAGTTGCTGCTCTATGGTAAATCTAAATCAAGCCAAAATTCCGAATATTTGATCCAACAATGAATGGTGTAAATTATCTTGAGATTACTTAGTAACATTCAGCATTGTTTTTTTCGGGATTGTTATAACAATTCTCGATTGTTATCCCATTTCTTCTCTTACGTATGATATCAACTTGAGATATATATAAAGAAGTTATTTCTAGTATTGAATGAGTGCGCGGGATCAGATTCTCGGGGCTGGGAACTCATAGTTGGCTATTCTGTGAATGCTATGGCTGTTTTCATTTATTATTTCCTCCCTCGCAGGCAATATTCACTTGAATATAGACAGCTTTTGAATACACTTATATCTAAATGTATTTTTAGAGTAAAACAGCTCATTCCTCAGTGGTTCTGACCTGAATACCTATTTTTGAGTGTATCATAGCCTGGTGTGAACATTTTCGAGTCACCATTCCGTCGTCTGAGACTCATTTTCGTGAACTTTTAACTCCAGTACCTGGTTCTTGTCACTTTGATACCCCTCAAGTGCATCTTTTGAGTCAGAATACCCTCCATTAGGACTCATTATCCGAACTTCAACTCGAACACCCTATTACAGTCACTTCAACACTCCAATATCAATGTTTTCGAATCAGAATACCCTCCTTCTACAGTCATTTTGCATGCCACTAGGGGAACCGAGCAGGGGGGTCTTGGAGATAATAGAGGACGTGTAGCCCATCAAGTTTCGCTTTTCACAACGAAACATTCTCACAATACATCAAGTACAACAAACTACTTGCAAACTTAAGAGAATTCTTTTATCCTATTTCCAACTCAAATCCAGAAACACCTACCTGATACTGAGAGCTTAACTCTAGCCATCTCCAAAGCCGATCCGTTACATCAAATCTCCCTTAGCCAGGATCACTCATATTTGGACGAATCCGACTCTTTTTATTGCTCGTAGCTACCTAGTCAGGCCTCAGAGTTGTACCCAGCTGGATTCAGACCATCTTCTCTTCATTTAAAGTACTCAAAGCTTGATTGATATCCACATTCGTGCCACTAAGTTATGTCTAACTCAAACCGAGAAGCACCAAACTATGATGGACGGGTACGAAACAACCCTTTCAGAGGAGATGTAAATATTCTTGTCGGAGGGGTCGCACCGTGAAGATCAACTTCTTGGGAAGTAAATACAGCTGGAAGCTCGAACGCGACAGTTGGAAGAGGCCGAATCACACCCCAGCTTTCGCGAATCATAGGGTCCACTTCAGCTGATGTATATGATCCGCAAGGCAATTTCGATACCCCGAACATACCATTGGAATTTTGGCGATCAGGAGGATTGACACAACTAAATCCACCCGCACAAAACATGGAGCCATTTGGTCCACGTTATCCGTGGGGAACTTACGTAACGGATTATATATGGAGGACGTTCTTGCTGAACAGCTGGCATGGGGCGTTCCTTGATATTGACGCGATTGATCTATACCTATTCGTAAGACTGTGCTGTAACCTTCGTCTTACAGTAGAAAACCCTCCAAGTCCAGAGGGTATCGCCGGTATTACCGCCATCTTGGATGACCAATATTTAGAAAGACAAGAAATGATATTTCCGCCCCGTGCAGTGTCATATTTGAGTCCTTTCAATCCAATTTTGGTCCGCGACCTGTTTGAATTCCTCGGGTATACAGGAAATCCATATCGGCAATGGCCTGTAGATAGAGTCATCGAATGGGTCGACACAGTACACGGCGATGGTCACGAACAGAACGATCAACTGATTTATCTTCGGAACCCCTTAAGTAACTCTATAGATCGGTATTACCGTTCACATCCACAGGGCCCACCCAGACTCGTAGCTCGAGCTAATATTGACTGGCCTCCCAGCATTCATAGATTTATGGATATTCCAGTACCGGTTGTTGTTAATCTACTAGCTACGCCCGTCCAAAGTGATGCAGGATCAAGCGGCCATCACCGTCATTCATCGGGTTCCTCGGGCTCCTGGAGAAGTCATGGATATAACGAAGGACATGGACACCAGAGGAGAAGACATCATCATTAGGACAAATATCAAAGATTCCAGATTTTGCGCCTGTCGACAGGAGATTCGTTGCCAGTTTTATTCGTCCAGGGTTGTTGGTGAACTGAGAGAATACGGTTGGAAAGCAAAATTACATAGATATATTGATTAGAGTATGGATGCACGGGCCGCACTGTTAGAATATAAATGGATAGAGAGAGGTCTGATGCGCTAGCCGCACGACTGAGGACTTTTACTTGGAATAGGGCGCAGATAGACACTGATTACGAGACGCTGAATGCGGTACGCTGGTCACACTGCCTGGAAATGAATCTAGACTACTTAGAAACCAATAGAGAATATTTAATAACGTCGCTTTTTACACTATCTACTCTCGATTATTACATTTTGATACATCATTCCATGCTCAACCCTTAGCGAGAAACTAGGATCAGAGTTCCCTTTCAATACAGTACATGAAAGCTACGAAAATGACAGTAAATATCGTTCAGCCCGAGTCATCCAGATCGAAGTGTCAAGGCCTCATTTTAATCTATTCCTCCATTTTATCATCTATCGCCATGGGTACAGTTATAAATCTTTCGAATGTATAAAAAGGAGTCTTCTGGAAATGTGTCACTTGCATCTCCGAGAGTATGAATTGAAACTTGTAGATAGAGTACAATTTAGAGGGGGAAAATATATTTTCTGTCTTTTACAAGCGTAAATAGAGACAATTTGATCAAGTGAAGCTAAATCATGTCAAAAATTTCATGAAACTTGACACGGCAAAGTAAGTTTTTATAGATTAGTGTCTCTTATAGCTTGATTTGAGATATATTTGAGGGTTCCATGATTGAAGATGGTCTGTGATACCATTCTTGTTTCCCATATTACTGAAATATTCTAAGATGCGTGTAGATAGATTTGGTGCTTCGGGGTATACATTTGGGTGGTGATACATATTTATAGTCACCATGTTGGGAAAACAAGGACCAACGCTGAAGGCATACTCAAAGACACTCGATCAGAGGCAGACATCGACTGAAGCGATATCGAAACTAGAATGTTAAAAAATTGAGTGTGAAAAGCAACGTTGCTAAATATTATCTATCTATCTCTAAGTGTTCTACCCATGTCTTGCAGTAGTGCGACCAGCGCCTCTACGTCTTGCATCTTCCCATGCCTTAATTAAGCAAACCCTCAGTCGTGCGGCCGGCGCATGAGACTTTCCGGTATCTAATTATGCTCTAATGGAGCGACCAGCGCATCTAATGTCTAAATCCCTCTATGAAATGCCGCCAAAGTTCTGCAGAGCGCTCTGTCTCCGAATATCACGTTCTTTTGCCTTCAATTCAATGACGTGGCTTTTTTTCCCTTGCCTGTATACTCCACATCTCGATTAGAGGACTGTGAGTGATGATGACTATGCGAGGAGTTTGAAGTCGAAGCTCTAGAATGTTTAATATTTCGTCTCAAATGTCTTGATGGCTCAGGTTGTTGTTCTTTTGAAGTTGACCCTGGAGCTTGACTGCCTAATTGATTGAGCTTCAATTTCCAAACCGCTTCTCCTTTGCTATTAACTGTTTCTTCATAGATGAACTCTTTGATTCGCCAGTCCCATCGGAGGGCTCTATCCGTCAGGGCAGTCTGATAACTGTGGTTCCAATGACTCACAATGGTTTCTGGCACGTTGCGAAGAACAAGTCGAGGGGACCATCCAGAAAGCCACACCCATCCCTCCAATATGTTGAATGCTTTTCCACGGTTGATGTTGTTTCTATTGGCCATTATGGCGAACAAGGACCTCACTTGCTCCACAGTGAAGGCGCCTGGTCGCCTCTGAGATACTCCTCCGAAGCCTGGTGGTCTGCCGGCTTCATTGAGTATCGCCACTATGTCACGTAGCCAATTTACCAAGTTACCTCCGTCAGGTCCTGTCATACCTTCAACTATGGTGTCAGGTCTTTCCACTGATCCTAGATGAACTGTAGTGATGTATGCTAGTCGATATAAGTCTACATGATCAAACATAAGACAGATCCGTTCTTCCTCACAACCCTCTTGACCCTGCCATGTATCTCTCCATAGATCGGCCCCGGGACCCTTATTATGAGGATAGGGGCTGTGGAACGCCGGATTATATCCTGAGTCCCAAGGAACAGGAGACCATATTCCATAGAGTGGTTCTTTAGTAACTGTTCCCAGGTTGCCGGTGAACCTGTAGACTGGGGGTGGATGGAGGAAGGCGCCCGTGAGGGCGGGGAGATTTGTCGTTGACGTTCAACAAAATCGCGAGTAGTAGTCTGTCTCTCAGCGAAATTATGAGCAGCTGCTAGACTGCCATAATTCTGAACTTGCTGAGGTTCTATTATTGATGGATTAAAAGCACTTGAATTCATGGATAGTAGCGGTGAACTATGCTGCTGGAACTGTTGCGTGGTCTGTGGTTGAGGTTGGGCAATATTTGGGTTGTCAAATGTAGATCCATATTGTCTTCCTGGGTCTGCCGTATAAACTGCTGGAGTTTCGGTATTTGAATATGAATGTTGGCTTCCTGATAAATAATGTTGGGAATCGTATGAGGGAGTATATGAATGATGATCTCCTGACGCAAGAGAGGGTTCACCTTCCAGCGGTATCCTCCCGAGCACTGGGCCCGCCGCACCACTGATGATTTCATTGCGAGACCAATTAGCTCTACGGTATTCATCATACGTAAAGGGAACTCTGTGGTCAGACATGACTGTAGAGTAAGATTTATGAGCAGCTCCTGGCTTATTGGTCGATCTAGGCTGGTAAAGGGTGATAATGCTGAACTTATGAGTCTGGCAGCCAAATACTGCAAGTAGATTCCCAAAGCAAGCTTGGCAACGGGAATGCCTAGAAACGTTGCTAAACAGTAAGGTAATGTGTTGCTGGAGATAAAGAATAGACGGTGATAAAGTGTGATATGGGGTAATGTTAAGAAGATTGTCTTGCTTCACAACTGTTTTGTTATTGCGTTGTATTCTAAAGTTGTTTCGTACTTTGCAGACTTGAATCAAGAGGGTCGCACCGACTCCTATTATTCTCAAAATCCCCCTGTAGTCCTTCTCTGAAAGACTTCCAAGATGACTATAAAAGAAGAGCATTCTGACTCGAAAAATGCATGTGAAGAGTGACTCAAATATGGTATTGGAGTCAACGACACAGGATATTACTCCAATGCCTGACTTCTTTGGCTCGCACATGCTCTATCAAAAGAACCTTCCGGTTTCTAGTTTCTATTCAAAGGTAGATATAGAATAAAGTGATACCAAAACTATTGTGTTAAGAATTTAGTGTAAAAGCAACGTTATTAAGTATTATCTATCTATCTCTAAATACTCTAGCCTTTTTTGCTTCATTATTACAACCATTGCATCTATTCTTGCCCACTATCCATGTCTTGATTAGACATATCCTCAACCGTGGGGCTAGCGTATCAGACTTCTATATCTAACTACATACTAATAAATTCCAGCGCATCTACTATCAACCAATTGTTCTCTATTTCCTATTCAAAAAACCCTCACTGGGTCCCCCGCTTGTAGTGAATTTTACCATCTTTGCCCATATATTGAACCCTCGTTGTATGTTTTTGAGAATCCGAGCTGTTTGTCTCTGGATGTGGATGTTTAGATGATGATACTCCAGGTTTTACGGTGATGACATTGGCACTTTTTCCCTTTTCTTGTTTGCGGCGCCATCTTTCCTCCTCTAGTGCTAACCCTTCTGCCTCCTGTATACTCGACTCTCCCCAACCCAATCGCTCTAGTCTTTTCCCCGCAAAGTTCAGTTCTTCTGGATCATTCTGGATATATTCTTGGTGGTCGTATTCTGCTTGCTCGGCAGTTATATTGGTCCAAAAATGAGCTTCAGGAGGTACTGGTGGTGGGGATATAAAGGTTTGTGGTAAGTGCCAGATGAGTCGGTCACCGTCTCCTTTCTCGCGGTAGAGGAAATAGTCAATTCTCCAGTGCCAGCAGAGCCTTTTATCCGCAACAGCAGTTTGATAATCGTAGTTAAAGTAACGCATAATAGCTTCTGGCAGACCTGCTACGAGTTTCTTGGGAGACCAGTATGGATATGGCTTAGGCGTGGAACTCGTAGGCGAGGGACTCTTATGCTTAGAACTCTTGCGATGCTTCTTATTATCTTTGCTTTTCCTTGCCTGTTCTTCCCTTTCTCTTATCTTCTGCTTTTCGCGTTCCTGAACCCGGCTATTATTGATTTTCAGCCATCCATTTATGCGCCCAACTGCTGCAGCACGATTTTTGTTGCTTCTATCGGACATAATGCGGAGAAGCCCTCCCACTTGCTCCACAGTGAAGCCACCTTTTGGCCGTAAATGACTTACAATGTTAAATCCATACGGTCTACCAGCACTGTTGAGGATTTCTGTTGCCATCCTTACACACGTCTGATTATCTTGAATGCAATCGACAGTTGAACTCAAAGTCGTAATAATGTACATTAGTCGATAAAAATCCACATGATCAAACAGGCAACAGATTCCCATTTCTTCTTCAGTCCTGTAAACACCAGCCCATAAGTCAGCCACAGGGCCTTGGCCTTCACTTTTGAAACTGGGATCATCTCCTGAATTCCAGTTAGCTGGATAGTCGTCAACCCCATAGGGAAGTTCTCCTTGCTCTTTGTACGTAAACACGCTAGCGGGAAACCTTGTCATTACGTCCTGATAACTAGCTGCGGACGTATCTGTAAGCCTGCTGGGAGTATTTGGATGAGTCGGCAGCATGGCATAATCAGAACTATTTGGTGTAAAAGATCTATTTTCCACTTGCGGCTTCAGGTAACCCAGACCAGCTACTTCATAAATATCTTTGAAGGATGTTGTATCAGGCACATTTTGATCTTGAAAGTTGTTTCCAGACGAGGCTGATGCCTCAGTTGTTGTTGTTTCCGCGTAAGAAACGGCTCCAGTACCAAAAGACGATCCTTGATACACAGGCGGCGGCGCATCAGACTTGGGAGCCGGTCCTGCTGCAACGTCATCCTGCTTCTGGTACTGCCCCTGGTAGTAAGGGGAATTATCGACTTCATCGTATCCTTCTGTGTAGTGCTGTAATAGTGGTGCTGGCGCTGGTGCCGGCGCTGGCTGGACAATATTCTGTTGACGATCTCTTACCTCAGTGTTTCTGACATGGTGTGAAGATCTATTTGGTGATCCATGGCTTGGAGCACCTTCCGTTGTCTGCCTTTTTTTTCCTTTCTCTCGACGATGGGAAGACATTCTCGTAGGAATCGATTAGCCCTTAGATATTTGGAGGTTCAGAAGTCTCAGTCTAATGCCCACTAGAGACGACGTCTAGAAGTTTCAGTGTCTATCACTATGTTGGACTTGCACAGTCTTGACTGAGGATAATACGCCGAAGCTGCTGTCGAACAATGAAGGGGTGTATCGATGATGATAAAGCTCAAATATTGGCGTAGGAGCCGGTCAAAGAAGAGAAATAGGCGTTGTGTGGACAAGATGGTTCTGCTCAGAGTTGATATTATGCTAGAGAAAAGGTTGCTCCTTGATTTTGAAGTACTGTGTTTCACTTCAATGTATTTCGAGGATGCCTTGTTGATTGCAAACTCGAATGAAAAGGGGTGCACCGTTCCTTAATATACCCACGAACCCCCTGTAACTTTCTCCTGGGAAGCATTTGGAATGACTGTAAAGTGAGGTTATTCTGACTCAAAATGCTCATGTTGTCATTAGAATGTATACTGAAACAGGCATTCGAGTCAAAACAACCGAGATATAAGTCCCATTGAATCCAAAAATACATCTAGAGACCTCGGAAGTATGAATATATTCTTTATAGAATATACGAGTCAGTTTCGCTTGTAAACAATGACGCAATAACCAAGAATATTCATGTTGATACCAAAAATAGACAACTATGAGCCCTTGTTGCGATATAGGTGAATACGTACATATGAGCCCACGAGCGTATTGAATATAGCTCTCGTAGTTTTGAAGCTAGAATGGATATACGCAATACCAACCGATAGATTACAACTATTTTGAAGATGTTATAATCATCACCCAGGTGATACCAGTAGTCCCAACCCCTATGACTTGGGTCCGCATATTTATTCACTCCTACGAATAGTCTCCCTATACACCATTCAAGTCCAAGTCATATGCAGATGATAAGTAAATAAGAGGAATTAGTCCCACCATTCCGAAAATAGACAGTAGTGAATCTCAAAATCCTCGCCATGCCCCAGACTAGTCATTGTTGACTCGGGTATACCGTATCTTGACTTGAAATAAATAACTCAACGTCGAAAAGTAAATTTCATTGATATCCCAGTCAGATTAAAAAAGGAAGACTGTAAAGTAGGTATTCTTCGGACTCCAAGACGTAACTGTAAGTGACTGGATATGAACACTATGAATTGATATCATTTTGAGTTAGCGAAAATAATCATTCCTGACTCCAAAACTATTGTATCTTGACTTGAAATCTTTCTCTCGAGATATGGATATACTTGGAATAGATATCCAAGTCAAAAACATGTGTACATAGCTAAAGACACTTAATATAACTACGTGACTGGCGGTCTATTACTTGATGAAGGCATCATGAATGGATGTACATTCTTCAAAATACGCGAAAAATGACATTATTGACACGAAGTTAGAGGATGTCGCATTGATGTCGTTGATTATGAATAGGGCTGTTATTTCTATGATTGTATATGGGCATACTGTTGGGAATGGTTAGGATTGTGAGTGGAAGTGTCCTTGAAAAAATGAAAAGGAGTCATCGGTTATTCAATTTGGGGTAGTTGCACGTGATTTGAGGGGTAGGAAACAGCATATGCTATTATTGGTGGATTCATGGGTATCAAGTATGATATGAATTTGAAAACCAGTAATTATTGTTCAGCCATCAAGGCAGGTATCATATTAATCACACAACAAGCTTGAGCTCGAAAATAATGATCGCTTCCTCATATATGCAACCCCAACTATGTATGTTCTACCCCATGAACCTCACTTCCCTCTTTTCCCTTCGACCTCCTCTCTCCGCCTGCCAGCCCCTTCATATACCATCCAGCTAAGCGCCACCCTTTCTATTCCTCCTCATCATTCTCTTCTTTTGAATAATTTGTGCCTTCTTTTTTTGTTTGCTGTCATCATCGCCTTCGGCTGCTTCGTTCCTTGGTCTCTTTCTATCCTTTTGTTCAGATGCGTCGTCTTCGGCTTTACGTTTACCCCTATTTAATAGTTAGTACGTCATACTTGTTAATGCAAAAGGGGGCGTAGACTTACCTGAGAGCGATTCTATCGAAACTCTTTTCCTTTTCAAATTTCCCACCTTTACCAGCTCCCTTGATGCCCTTTCCACCCTTTCTCATCGATTTCATTTGTGTATCTCTACCTGCCAATTTCTTCGAGCTGACGATTTCGCCCTTGGCAATCTTATCGGTCACTTCTTTTGAGCGATTGCGAGCTTTCTCTTCGTGTTCTTTTCTTCTGGAAACTACTTGTGCGTTCTCAATGGCAAATTCTACGATCATTCTTTGTGTTTTCCCTTGGGAGTTGATGAGTGCGTGGCCGTTCAACCATCTTAAGCCCATGAGAGCCCATCTGTGACTCGAATATTCAACGAAACCATATCCTCTTGATTTCCCGGCACCGCTCTCCTCGCTAACTTTCTTGCCTTCTCTACCCTCAAACACAACTTTAGCCTGTCGAACGATACCTTTGCCTTTGGCCTTTCTTTGCTTTTCAGCCTCACGCATCTCTTCGCCTCCTCGTGAGATTTCTTCCTTGGAAAGTTGCTGACGTAGTCCTGCCTTAACATCTGTAGCAAATCCAACAACGGCTTCACGAGCCAGAGCTTTGAGAGCTTTAGAATCGATATTGCGGGGTATGTTACGTATGGCCAGACGCGTGAGACTGAGATGTAGAGTTGGGTTTCCTTGAATAAGCTTCTTTCTTTGCATGGCACTATCCTCGCGCATCTTTACCTCGGAAGGTGGGAGTATATCGTAGAGAGGGGTGCCCTTTGCGACAGTACCTTCTTGAAGAAGGTAAAGCTTTCGTTTATCTTTGTCGCGGTTATCACGGAAATGCGATCCCTCCTCTGTAAGCTTCACTGCTTGATCTTTCTCAACAGCCTTGGATATCTGAAGTAGTCTGCCTTCGATGGTATAAGCACCCGTTGAATCTGCGTTTTCAGGTTCCAGGAGAGAGTGCTTGATTTGTGGAGTATCACCTTTCTTAATTGCATTTGCGCCGGTAGGTTGATACTTGGGGCAATTTCGGAAACAAGACTCAGCATCTTCGACGTTGTAGAAACAGACAAAACCGGTCCCCTTAGGACGGTCTGTTGCCTTATCCATAACCACTCGAGCATATCTAACAGGACCGAATTGTTCAAAGTGTGCCTTCAAAGTTGCGTCGAGAGTCGTAAAGGGGAGATTGCGAATAAAAAGTGTTGTTGAATTGTCGGTAATGAAATTTTTCTTTGGCTTTTCTTCTTCCATCGTCTCATCTTCAGCTGTATCATCAAAGTCGTCGTCATTTTCAATATCGTCGTCTTCGTCGTCCTCGTCGTCTTCATTCTCTTGATCGGCTTCAGGATCACTCTCGTCCTCAGACTCTAATTGATCTCCAAAATTCTTCATGAAATTTGCGACATCATCGTCCACATCGTCGTCGTCTGCCTTGTCTTTTGGCTGTTTGGGCTCATCCTTTGGTTTTTCCACATCCTCACTAATACCTGCATCCTCGTTCTTCTTCTTCTCCCAAACATCCTTTTCGACAGCCCAATCAACGGCCAATTGTCTGCCATCAATCTCACGCCCATTGATTGCAGCCAATGCCTTCTCTGCATTCTTCTTGCCCCGCATAACAATAAATCCGAACCCTGCTTCCTTTCCTTTGACCTTGGGCATTGTAGCGAACTTGACCTTTCCAAAACCCATGAATAGCTTGGCCAATTCGTCGGGGGTTTTGACGCTCCATGGCAGATTTCGGATGATAAGTTTGGGGGGTGCTTTTGATTCTGCCAATTTCTCTTGTCGGGCTTTCTTGACAGCAGCTGCCTCGGTAGCAATCGCATTCTTCTCCTTGGGCATTTTTAGTCCATCGTCTCCACCTTTAGCTGGCGCATCTCTGGAACGTGGTTGAGCAATTTCAATTTTCATTTTACGACCCTGAAATGATTGGCCATTGAATTCATCCAAGGCTCTCTGAGCGTCTTCCGCATCTGCAAATGTAACGAATCCATAACCCTTTGATTGTTTTGTAACAGGATCGAGTACAACTGTGGCATGCTTGAGAGGATAATTGTCGGAGAAAAGCTCAGTCAACGATGCGGTTGTAGCTGTCGCAGGTAAAGAACGAACAAACAATGAACGGCGGGCAGATGCATTCGTTTCTTTTCTAGGTTTCTTCGAGGTATGTGTTTGGGTTTCTTCGGATGCTGCCTCAATGGCAACATCATCGTCGAATGGTCTCTTTCTTCCTTCAGACATGGTGGTGTATTATTCAGTGTTTCTTGTTGATTTTTGATTCAAATATCAAAAATAAATACATTCATAGGGAATTTTCTCGATATCAAAAAATTATTTCCTATCAGTAACAAACCCGGCAATTTCCATTGGATCTAATCTACATCTAGTTTAGCGCACACATGCTTGGTTCAAGTTGAAAATGGGGCTGGAACAACTCAAAATGCGTTTGATCGATTCTGGCTAGAGAAGAGCTGGGAATCATACGGAGTGTTTAATAATGAGTTTCATGATGGAATTGTCCAATTTGACTCTTTTTGAATCTTTTCCAACATTTCTCAAAATGGTATATATTGTTGGATAATCACATTCATTTATCATATTTATTCACATCCATTCAATAAGGATTACGGTCAAAGAGGAGAGAAGAAAAAAATTTAATGACTAGCTGACCTCGGTTTAATTTACACGTGACTGCGGCGCTAAATCTTTGGTTCGGCCAATTCATTGACAAAGCGGTGCCTCCCAATCCTATTGACCTCACATGAACGATCTGCCCAACTACGCAGGAAATTCAGCACCATCAACGACAATAACGAAACCGACGTTGATTATACGAAAAACAATATCGCATTGATAACACGATCTTAATGACCTACATGAAATAAGAGCACAGGTCGATTTAACGCTGCCGTCGGCGGTGTAGGTCCGTTTTTGCGACAATCGTTCTCGGTCCACCTTCTCCTTCATTCCCTCTCACCTTTCTTCGAGCCTCGAGAATCCGATCGAAAATAGGTTCCTTTTATCCTCGACACTCGCTCGATACTCTGTACAATTATTACTCCGCATTCTTTCTTTCTCAATAAACTCGAGGCGCATTTTGATACCCTTATACAGTCTTTTCGATAAGAATAAACTTTTCGCTACGGCCGAAGCCGCAACAATCAATCCTTCTACCACCACATTCACCTTTTTTCTTTTCTACAACAACCTCGATTACTTTAATATTCAAACTTATTACCGAAATGCCTTCTGATCTCCCACAAACACCACAAAGTCCTTCCAATACCCCAGGCTCTACCGATATTTTGTCAAAGAACGTAGTTTCTCCACGAATCAATACTTCACTTCCGACACCAGCCCACAGCATCAACGGCAGCATGTCAACCGTCAATTCCGCCATCGAGGCATCTCAATCAATGGATCCTTCGACCAAGCGCAAGAGAGATTTTGAAGATCTTGGTGATCAAAAGCAGAAGAAAGTTCATGTCGAGGAGAGCAGACCTAGTATTGACGATCTCCATCAGGATGTCGGTAAAAAGTACCTTCTCTGCAGAACTCGTAAGAATTCCTTCTTTCTAGTTGATCTAACTTGTTGGTGGTTACAATCTCAAGCATATTCATCTTATATGACTTGTCCACCACTTGGATAAAAGATTTTGTTAACATGGAATGACATACAGTTCATAAGAATCAAAATTTAAACGTACAACAAGATTTATACGATCGATTCGGTTTGAACGGAATTGCCGCCAGTCTTGCTCGTGTCACAGCAGATGGGAAGAAGAACACAGTTCGAAAAACCTACAAAGGATACATAAAATCCTTGGGTATTGCTGGGCAGTTCGATGCAGTCAAAGGTCCAGAACCTAATCAGCCTGGATCACTCACTTCATTAATTGATGCCTACGGACCTCTTGGGCCCAGGGAAGCATGGAATCAATCTTATGTACAAGGAAAAGAAATCAGTAGAGGAATAGAGGATCTACTGCCTCAAATCAAGACGGCTTTAATTATGGCCAAAGGCCCTGTTCCAAAAGAACGTTGGAATCATTCTGTTCTTGGTGAAATCAGTTCCCAAATTGCCAACGATCCCTTAAAGGCTGTTCCTGCGAAGGCAAAGGCTCCAATGCCGATGGCGCAAGGCACGATGGGTGTGCCAAAGCAAAATAGAGGCGCGGCAGATATCGCACGTCCAAAAAGAACCGCAAAGAAGCGCTCATACGGTGATTCAAGTTTTGAAGGCTATGGCGAGGGTTACGTTGATGATGATGGTGGATATTCCACCGGCGATGGCGATGACAGAGCCGGTGGTCGAAAGCGACCAAAGAAGGTGGGTAGTGTGCTATATCCATCAAATGTGTAAGCTAACAAAGGAAAGACTCCAACATCTCACGGTTTCCAAGGACCCATGCGTCAAAGTTACGGACCTGGAATGGTTGGTGCTTGAACTTGACGAGAGAGATTGTCTTGACTCCAACCTTATTGACCTTAACAAAAAATATTGGGCGTGTTTTTTGGCTCGTTGACTCGTTGCTTGTGGATTTACACGCTTCTATATACTGCCAATATTGCTGATCCTTCCCTATAAGAGGTCGAATGATCAAACTGCTCTCGAGAATGAGCTCCCAGAACATAACGTTGGTTTAAAAATATAGCTTACAGAACAAGCTATAAACCTTCCGGTCTGTGTATGATAGAGAACGGCGGTGCTTTTCTTACGAGAAGCCTTCATTTGATGATAGCACACTTTTTGGGGACATTTTGCCTCGAAGGGCTCTTGATGACTACTGGACTGGGAAAAACTGGTAATAGCAAATGTATGCATGGCATGGATAGTATTGGGCATCACGTATTTACGGACCCAACCAGCAAAATAATGAAAAAATGATCAAAAATTGTTTGCTCGAGTGGTTGACTGCCGGTGATGTGATGACGTTAGTTTTGTGTACTCTGTAGAACATGAATGACTTCTACTATGTCTTTCTACCTGCTGCTTATTAGATTCACCAATCTGCTCAACTTCCTGCCTTTGTTGATCTATGATGATTCATAAAACTATTCTTCAGCATGTCACAATCTGTCAGCAAATATTAATTACTACATTAAAACTATTGGACGAACACTCGAGCAAATAAATGTCATTTCTCTATTTTGTATGACTTCATCCCAAAATTGGTTTACTTGCTGCAGCTACTGGGATTCCCGAGCAATGGCAACAATTCATACGCTAGTTGCCGAGAACACATTTCTAGAAGCTGGGACATAAATTCGTCATAATACCATCCGACCACCTTTTACTTCCACATTCCCTCTTTACCTTTTCTTCTATCAATTCATTCAATTGATCTGCTCATCATGGTTTCCTATAAGTTTACTACCCTTGCTCTTCTCGCACTTCGTGCTGTCAGCGTTTTTGCTGCACCAGAAAGTGTAAGTTTAATGTTTTCCCATTAATGACAGCTGTCATAAGCTTCAAATAGCTATCGAGAGCTAAAGAATACCATTGAAACCCAAAATAAATACTAATTTATATTCATCAATAGACTGAAGATCAACGTACAGAAGCAGCAGCAGAAGGCTTCGAAACTCCCCCTAGCAATCTCGCCGTCTCAGTCGTTGCTGCATTTCCTGAAGCAGAAATCTTTGGTGTTAAACTCGTCAATGGCCATGCTTCTCGAGCCCTCCTTACATTCCAAAACGATGAAGCTGAAGCTGTTCAAGTAGCTGTTGTTGGAGGCTCTTTGTCTACTCTCCAGACTCTGCCAGAAGGAACTCATCCTAGTGCTGCTATTGTGCGCAATTTGACCTCGACAAGATATGATGTTGAGATTCAGCCTGGTGAGGCAGAAAGCTTGACATATACTTTTACTACGGATTTGAACCCCCAAGATTTGAGATTGAACATCATTGCGGTTGTGGCTAGTCAAAAGGGTGGTGTTTATCAAATTCAGGCCTATAATGAGACTGTTGCTGTTGTTGAAGCTGCTACTAGCATTTTCGATCCTCAAATGTGAGTGTTTTCTCCGCAGTACGATTGTACAGGAAACGAATCAAACTAACATCACAATAGCATCTTCCTCTATCTCTTCCTTCTCGCAGTCACCGGTGGTACTCTCTACTTTGTTTACATAACCTGGATCGAATCTCTCTTCCCCCAAACTCGCAAAGGTGGAAAAGGTGGTGAGCGCGCCAAGCGTTCTTCTGGAGGAAGCAAGAAGGCAGTCGATGTTAAGGATCAAGTCTCTGTTATCGGTGCTGACGGACCAGCTGTTACAACTCAATCTTTGGCTCAACAAGCTTATGATGAGAGCTGGATCCCAGACCACCACATCAACCGTCCTTCTGCAAGACGTGTTAAGAGCGGTGGCTCGAGAATCAAGACAAAGGTCGTTTCTGAGTAACTACACAAGCGATACAAGTTGCACATATGAATGGATGAGAGATGAAATGGAATGTGGGAGGTATGGAAACCAGGGGATTCAATTCTTGATCTAAGTCGAAGCGATCTTTGTATTAGGTTGACGAAGGATATCTGTATGAATGAATGGGACGGAAAATGGAATTTGTACTATACAATTTTGGTGAACGGCTGGCTAATGGCTATTTTGGGGTCGAAGCATAGTATTTACTGTAACGATATCAATTTTAGCATGTACAAATCTGTTTGAGTATTTATCTGCTATTCTTGCAAGATTTTTTCATGTATAATGCACAGTGTTCTGGACTGAGAAAATGATCGGAAGTTGGGTGTTGGTATCAACTTGGTTGATAAGTGTAAGTACTTTGGTCTATTGTGGTTGTATTCGTTCTTGATCATTATTATCTATGGAAGCTAGTACTTAATATAGGAAAGCGCTAGTGCAACGCTAGCTAATACAATGCCCTCTTTGATCACATGATCGATACCCCGACAATGGGTAAACATAGTGTATGCGCAAGATGTTGAGGAGATAAGTGTCTCATGTCACGTTGGACAATGATCTTGAACGGAAGACTTGAATTGCATTCAACTTCTCTCTGCGTTCTCCAGATCAGCCACATGCAGCTCCCGGTCACATGCGACCACTCAAGTCTTCTCTCGATGACTAGAAATGGCAAGTCAGTTTAATGATTGATACGAGGATCGATGCGATGTGGGCGTGGGCTTTTTTCTCTTTGTTGGAGCTACAAGATAATATCTTGCTATCTGCCTTTCTGCTGAGGCGGAGAGATACTTTCTTACTATCTGTCTCTCCGTTGGAGCCGAGATGGTCATTGTCGTCAACCTTAATTCGGAAGATCAAAAGACACTGTCCTTTCATGTTGATGGTGTTACCAGAGACATAATACACTGTCCTTCCATGGTGGTGGTATTACTAAAGCCAGAAGACACTATTCTTCCAAAATGATAGTATTACTAAAGACCAAAGAGACTATCTTTCTATAGGGGTAGTATTGCTCTCTAATAGAGAAAAAGACACTATTCTTCCATAACAGTGGTGTTGTGCTTTTCTGGAGGAGAAAAAAGATATTATCCTTTTATGGCAATAGTGCTGTATTTCTCTGGAGAAGGAAAAGACATTCCTCTTTCATGGCGGTGGTGCTATGCCTCCTCTTTATACTGAGTTCAACCAAAGACAACGAGGCGAGGAGGTGGAGGGGCAGAAAGATAAAAGGAGGGGTAGGGAAGAGGAGAAGATGAAAGAAACGAGAAATTGAATTTATGTTCATAAAATTAGTATCCTAAGCATCTTTTATTTTGTGGCGAGAGGAGCAAGTGGATGGATGATCTTTAACTTAGAGAAAAGCTACATTTGGTTGAGAAATCGTTTGTAAGTTACAATTACGTTTTTGGATATAAACATCTCTGATAACTTCAAGTGGGTTTACGTTGTGAGACCACCAAACTCTCATTCATACTTTCCGATCTAATCCCGTATCAACAAGTCTAGATGGGTATTCTTCTTCGGGGCGGAGCTTGAGTGAGATTCTTCAAAAGATTTTTCTTGTTTAGAATCAAGAGACAACTCAATGTTTCAGAACAGCAATGAGCCGAAAACAATGAATTCCCTTATACCATAGTTATAATCTATACTCTGACATATGTGTCCAATGGATGATTTCTATCCAATTACCATTCATAACCTATCTACAGTCCTAATAAACGCCATAATCCTGTGTCTCTCGAGCAGTTTCTGGATCCGTAACCATTTTGATACATGAAGTTCAGTCGCCCACTCTAATTTGGCCCAATCTTATAGAAACTCATCCCATTGCATACCCTTCTAGCTGTTGAATCTTCCAGCCATCTCTGGGCTCACGACATCAGGAAGACTGAAACGAGTATTATTCAGGAGTTCCGTCATTTATGATTTTCGTATAATCTGCCCAATGATATACACATACCCATCCAGCACATCACATAGATCAAGATATTCAGCACCGCATTAATCTTGCAAATGTATACACGATACCAAAATCCAACTCCACATAACCCCTGGTGTTCTTCCGTGTTATAATCCCTCCCCAAACCCCCGCATTAGACTCCTATTTATTCTCGCATCTCATTTCCCCATTTCAATTTCCATTGCATCCCCCCGAGCTCTCTGATCACATTTCTCATCTCTCCCTGTGAAATTTGTCCATACGTTCTTTGCTTCGATTCCTAGCAACAGAACAAATCCAAAAGTGAGAGGTATATCAAACACAGCAGAATTCCTCTGCATAGGTGTTTTATTCCACCACCATACTCGAATATTATCTGCCGGGCTTGATTGGCGAGCTGCAAGACGCGCGAGATGGGATGCAGGTGGTGGGCGGGGGGGGGAGGGCTCTGTCGAGACGGAAAAGGCCCTTGAAGACTTTGCGGACCAAAAAGGAGGGGGGCATTTTGATGTGAGTGAGACGTCGTTGTTATTGATTAATACAAGCCGGGGTAAAATGACGGCAGGGCTCGATGTGTGTGGAGCGAGGTTGTGGTTGGATGATGCGAGTTCAACCACAAAGCGCAACAGCTTGACGAGACACGTAGTAGGTATCGTTGTAATTTAATGGCAACGAATGTGATTACTTGAGGGTTTGATTGTTTGAGGATCTAATTCTTCAGGGACTCAAATATTCGATACAACAGATATACAATAATAGTGATAAAGACCAAGGAAAGAAGATGATGGTTATAAATACCCTGCACTGGAGAAAATTATCATGTCTTACGGAGAATTATCTTGGTTCTTTCAGTCGGTAATACTAACGCCTTGAGGTAGATTTTTGAGGAGCGATGAAATGGCGACAAACTAATTGAACTTAAACCCAATACCAGAGAATCACAGAAAACTCAAATACTAAAGAATGTTAGTAATCTAGTGTTTACATAGACTCACTTCTGGTCCTTTGACTTCTTGATTAGCTAATATATATGAGGATATCTCAAAGAATCTAGTCGACCATTTTATAAATTGTGTAATGTAACTATTATCAAAAGATTATGTGTATATACCTAATTAACTTTATAAAAAGACAAAGTATTCAATATCGGGATGTATAAATAAACTACACACATGAGCAAATCATATAATTCTTTTTTCTTTGTAAGGAGTGGAAGAATTATATCTAAATGATTTTATGTCTCAATTTATATTGTTCAATTTATATAGTCTTTTATGATGTTGTGTTTAGTGATTCGCATCCGACCCCTCCCCTCCACGTGGTTCCAATAATAGCAATATAAGTCATTACTTACTTAAAGCTTGTTCTTCCCCTTCTACCTCGTTCTCCTTCAACATCTATTGTTCGGCGTGGTTTTACCTTCCATTCATTTACCTTAGGTAGTCATCATTATCTCCATCAACGTTCTCCAAACTGCTATCTCATGCTATTTTTCGTAGATCTGTCTCCAGTCTGAGCTCCAACACTATACCACATATCCACGTGCCGTCCAAAGACCGTAAAGATAAATACTTTCAATTCCCCATCCCATTGCTAATAAACTGTAGCCCTTTTCCCGTTCACGTACACGAGCGGGCGATGGTTGCACCGCGATAAGGAGCAACGCGCCTTGCGACGTGTTGATTTCCATTTCCAAGAACTTTGCAACAAAGTCTTATCATTATGTCCAGAGGCCTCCCACATAATCAGTTATGAGAAAAAGGAGGGTGGCTTCAATCGGGTTCTTGTATTCCTCTTGGATGATGGGAGCCGAGTAGTGGTGCATCTGCCAACTCGAGTCGCAGGCCTTTCAGCTCTCACCACTAATTCTGAAGTTGCTACCATTGCATATGGTAAGTAAGCATCACGTATACTGTGATTCTTGCATGCACCACTTCAACTCTGGTGATTGACAGGATGACCTAGTAAAATCTCATACTACAATTCCCGTGCCCCATATTCTCGCTTGGTCAGATGACGCGAGTAATCCCATTGGCAGCGAATACATCATCATGCGACATGTCACCGGCGTGCCACTACGAGAGCGCTGGCTTACCATGGCCGGAAGTCAATACACGAGGTGTGTTCAATCAGCCTGTATGACGATGAAGCAGTTGGCAGCACTTGAATTTCCAGCATATGGGAGCATATGTTTTGAGAATGCACCATTTGACTCGACATTAAAGATACCCCTCAAAGAAGGCTTTTGTATTGGACCACACTGTTCAACTACATATTGGGATCGTAAGTCCAGTCAAACGGAAAAGGGGCTTTCGGTTCTTGCTGGTCCTTGTAGGTGAAATTTCCGCGTTATTGTATCATTCATGTTTCTGACAAACCCCGTTAGGGAAAGATCTCGCGGCATATGCATCAGGACTCATAGCCAATGGTCACTCCAAACTTCCATCCACCTCCTCCCAAATCGATTCATCACGGCCATCCTATTTCGGCACTATCAAGGAGCACCGAAACCTCCTAAATTCGGCTCAGAATTTACTTCAAAATCTTATAACGCAACCACAAATCGAAAATGCTTCGGTACCAACCCTAATCCACGCAGATTTACACACCCGGAACATATATGTTTCGGATGAAGACCCAACCCTAATCACATGTCTCATCGATTGGCAATCGACCTCCATCGAGCCCGCCTTCATCTACGCAAACGACGTGCCAGATTTTGCCGCCGCTCCTGAAAAGTCACCCGAAGAAGCGAATTTAAGTAACGAACCTCCTTTATCTGCACAAGACATCAGAATGCAGAAAGTTGCTGCATACTGTAACCAGGCATATGAAATTTGCATGGAGGCTTTCATTCCCAAAATGCGGGTGGCGAGATCAGTTGATCAGTTACTCATCCGACCATTTCAGTACTCCCACACTTCATGGAGAGATAGTGCGACTGTGGTACGGCAGGAATTTCTGGATCTCGCAGAGAACTGGAATGAACTGGGTCTGGCTGGGAAATGCCCTTACAGTCCTACCCAAGCTGAGCTTGAAATACATCAGAAAGAACACAAGGCTTTTGAGCACGTCCAGGAGCTCAAACTAATGCTTATAAAACTTCTACATACGGATTCTGATGGATGGATACCCATTGAGCGCTGGGAGGAGACGAGATGTGCACACAAAGAAATGTTTGAGCTTGCTCTCGAAACTGCACGCGAAGGTGAAGATGACTTGATGACCGAGAAGGATATGAAAGAGTTGTGGCCTTTTGATGATTGCAAGTCTTGAGTTACATGCATTAGTCGAGCGGGATACCAATATCGATAATTAACCCAAATCTCGTTGCGCAACCACGGGTCATGGAGATTCCATTCCTTGACCCTATTGCAGTCTAATTATCTCCACGACAGTTGGCCCAGGAGAGCTAGCGGAGCGTCCAGTTTTGATCAATCATTCAATTGACTGCAGCCACTCTTCGAAGTCCAAACCCCCGATATTTCCCAGCGTTTGAGAGTTTGATAGTTTTCCCCTGTAGCCCATTTCCATGTGCTTAAAATTCATATCGAGATCTGGAAAGTTCAATTCAACACCACTATTCATTCCATTTGAGCAAAATCCACAGACATGAACGATCAAATACAAGTACAAATATCCCAGACCTACCTCAACTCCAAGATTACAACCCCGAACCGCGCACAATTTGAATCTCGGAAAACATAGATGATTGATCAGATAGATGTATGGCCGAGTTTATTAAACCCTCATCACTATATTTGTTGCGAAGCTGCGAACGATGGATCATATCATAGTTAATCAATACTCTTGATTTATACATTCTAGGTTCCCCAAAGGAGCTTTCCTTTGCTTTTCTATCCGCTGATTTTGTTATGTTCATTTCCCTTTTGCTAGACTTGAGTTAGGGACCCAGATCTCTGAAGAGATTTTCTTTTCTGCGGATGGGAGAGGGTGAGTTGGTTTCTAGGTATTTACAGTAATATATCCATAGAGATCTGAAATTACCATACCCGTAGACGTCAAAAATAGCTACCTAGATATTCAACATACCTACTTGTACAACATACATATCCATAAAACTTCTATTCCCTTACCCTCCCCCTTCTTCTCCTTCTTCTCCCCCAACCCTAACCCCAATCCCCCCCTTCTCCTTTCCCGCCCCTTACAATCCCAATCCCAATCCCAATCCCAAATCCAATAAACATAGGTTCCAATCCTCCAGCCTTCCAATACACTATAACATCTCTCAAAAATTGAAAATCCTTTTGAATGAATATCAATAGAATCACACTCACACTAACACTCATTTGCACCCCATTCCTATTTCCAACTCTACTCCAACTCTACTCCAATTCCAATTCTATTCCAAATCTATTCCAACTCCAACTCTACTCCAGCCAAGATAAGAAGAATATATATGATATATAAACAGACGAACACTCGAATACTACTAAACTCCCCAGTATTTCAGAGTATACAATATAGCATCAGCATTACTAAATCGAGTATCTAATAAAACTCTTTTTTCCTTTTTTTTATCTTTTTTTTATACAGTTCAATTCTTTATACAATTGAATTCCGAAAACGTAATCGCATTATATGACTATATAATACTCGTATAAGCATATACAAATTGCATCCCTACCTAGGTAAATATTAAAAATGGAATATAATCTTATATACGCCATATAAAAAAAACTCCATAAAATCCGATGCATAAGTTTCTTTTGCTATGCTCCGAAACATACCTATATACCAACTCGTTGCTAAAAAAAACAAACATAAATATAAATATAAAATCTTCACTCTACATAGGTACATACATATACACATACACCTGGGCATACAATATAAACCAATCAATCATAGACTCTATCATATTAAACATATATAATAAACAACCTTAACATTACAGCTTTCCAAACCCAACCCAACCCAAGAATATAAAATTAGAAACTCATTTAGATAACTCGCAGTTCTTTTCTTCTCCTCCTCCTCCTCCTCCTCCTCCTTCTTCTTCTTCTTCTGCGAGCACTTCAGGCATGAATCAGGCCACCTCCTAGGCCACCTCCTAGGCCACCTCCTCTCACCATACAACACATCTACATATTACAAAGCACCCCAGCACAATATATCACATCTCATTGTTGGAAAAAAAATTACATCTCATTGATCTATCATATCAAATATATTTCATTTCTCCCTCCCCTTCCCATCAAGTGATTCCTATAAGAAAAACGAAACCCATGCATGCATCGCATCCCCAACATCCAAATGAGAAACCTCCCTCAGAGATACATTGCCATTTCAGTCCACCATGAACTTGCCAAGATAAAACTTCTCAATGAATAAAGAGTCAATCAGATACCATATTCACCAGGTTCAACATACCAAGTACGCCATTGATCGCCTCGCCTTTGGTATGATACAATACCATGTTTTTATTTTTTCTTCTCCTAACCTCTTCATTTTCTTTCATTTTTCCTTACTTTCATTCCCATCACAAGTTCTTCATTACATCAACTGTCTATTAGATGTTCTTGTAACTCCAGATTCTCGCTCTCATATCACCCGAACCAGTAGCGAAAGAACCTCCTGAAGGACTTGGTGCCACTGAAATAACAGAGTTCTTGTGACCTTGTAACATAAGTTGAGTGTTACCAGTTCTTGGATCCCAGAATTGAACACCTCTATCCTTTGATCCAGAAAGAACCCAAGCTCCATCTGGAGTGAGAGCGACGGAAAGAACAAAGTCCTATCAAATTTTATTAGCATAAAGATTGGACATAAAAATGAATAGTAGCTTACCTTGTGTCCTTCAAATGTACGTAGACATCTTCCACCCTTTGGACCTGTATTTGGGTGACCGCCTCTTGGAGCGACAAGTTCCCACATCTTGATGGTTTTATCCAAACTTCCAGAAACGAGGTCTTTTCCATTGGGTGCGAATGCAACAGAATACACACTGTCCTTGTGACCATCTGGGCCTTCAAGTCTTTCCACCAAGTAACCGGTAGCGGCATCCCAAACGCGAACACTCTTGTCAAGAGAACCAGCAGCGACGTACTTGGTATCGGGTGAGATGGCGACGGTTGTAACACCATCTTCAATACTAAGAGTCAAAATGTTTTGACTAGCTTCAATATCCCAAAGACGAACAGTACGATCACCACTTCCGGAAGCAATGGTACGGCCATCACGAGCGAAATCCAATGAATAGATATCTTGTTCATGTCCTGAGAAGGTATTTCTAATTGTTCGTGTAGCGATATCCCAAACCTATTTATAGTCAGCACGTGAAATGTTTTAAAAGAGGGGAAAACATACCCTGATCAATTTATCCTCTGCACCTGTAGCGAGATATCTTCCATCTGGACTAAAGCAAACACTTCTAATGTAAAGATCTCCAACGGAGTCTACAGAATCATCTTGAAGGACGCAAACTTTGTTTCCACTGACGACATCATAGATTTGAGCGGATCTATTGCAACCAGTTGCGACAAATTTTCCATCATGACTGAAACGAACACAACAAACCACGGATTCGTGAATGAGAGTATGAACGAGATCAACATCAAGAGTCTTTGGAACATCTGGGTTGAAAATCGCGAACCAATCGGCCTCTACTTTCTTAAATTGTGGTGGTAATCGTTCGAGGTCCAATTCTGCCAAAGCGTTTCCCACATTGCCGACTGGATATTGAGGTCCACGAGCGATACCAGCTAATGGGTGACCGACTTGTGGTGATTGTCTAGGATCGTTATTGTATGGCAATTGCTGTGGCATTTGAGGAGTTGCTGGGCCACCTGGACCACGGTTTTGGCGTGGGCCTCCTTTACCGGGACCTGGAGACGCGGTTGATTGAGGAGGTTGGGCACCATATGGACCATTCTGTGGAGGACCTTGTGGAGGATAGCCACCTTGGAAAGGACCTTGTTGATTTGGCGGAGGACCTTGAAGGGTTGTTTGTGGTTGTGGCATCGCGTGTGGTGGAAGTGGACCTTGCGCATCTTGTTGTTGTGGCGGAGGAGCCAAACCTGGACCTCCCTGAGCTGCTTGACCAGCCATTATACCTCCAAAAAGATTACTTGGACCATGTCCGATTGCCGGTGGTGCTTGGGATGGAGCATGTTGTGGAGGGCCACCCATAGCAGGTGGACGAGAAGCGCCTCCTCTGGCCTCGAGTTCGTGGCGAAGGCGTGCAATTTCTTCGTCATATCTTTTGAATGTTAGCAAAATTAACCTTCTCTTATATGAATCCATAACCCTACTTTTGCTTCAAAGAGAGATGTTGTTGTTCCATTTGATAGACCTTCTCTCTAACCATTTGCATCTCCTGTATTTGTTGTGCAACTAAGAAGACATGATATTAGCATCGCGCCGGATATTAGATCATGACCACAGCAAGTCGGAGATTCCCAAGAATTCCTTCCTCATCCTGCCATTCATCATCCTGATCACCTCCCTAGCCATGGTGATGTGCGACTCACTATTATGTTCATATTCCCCACTTGCTCGTTGTTGTGTATCAAATTCGGCGCGAATGCCATCCAATAATTCATTCAATCGAGCGGTACCTGGGGCAGGGCCCAAACCGCGATGATTGTACATAGACATCGTGTATTGATCGAGCTTTGATGCGACTTCGAAACTGTTGTGGATGATATGTCTTCAGATGGTCAGCAAACTCAAATTGGAAGGTTGAGGGTTCCAGCTTTCTCTGGAGATACCATCACGATCTCTTTCAGTGCGCTGCGCCCAGGCGAGAAAAGCAGAGATGAGAGAGAGATGAAGATGATGGGAGATGAGATTGGTAAAGTACTTACTTTTGATTGTGCGCAACAGTTTGCTTATAGATTGACGTTGTGATTGAAGTGTGGAAATGCGCGTTTGCAACTTTTTTTTATTTACCTAGGTCTTACAATCTGTCGCAACACCACCTATTCCAATGATGCCAAGTGAACACTAAATTAAAAAGCTATTAATCGCATTCGGCAATTCGAAAAAAAATAATTTTGGTTATTGAAGAGATGAATTGATAAAGATTGAATTAAGTAAGGTTATTGATTGATCCACGCTGATGATGTTCGGGATGAGAAAAGGAATATGATTGATGTTGTTGATGTTGAAGTGGGTGGGTGAGGATGTGGGTGTGAAAGTGGATTTTACTAATTGAGGTTGGAGGATGGAGTGAGATGGATGGATGTGAGATGTGAGATGTGAGATGTGAGGTGGAAGGGTGTAGGTAGTAGGTAAGGTTTTGTGTGGGTGGGTGATGGATGGATGGATGAATGGATGGATGGATGGTGGTGGTGGTGGTGGTGGTTGTGGTGGTGATAGATGGATTGTATGGTATGTACCGGTACCTATGGTATGGATGTACTAATTAGGAAAGAAGTGGAGGTCGAAAAAGAGGTGAAAGAGGTGAAAGAGGTGAATGAGGTGAATGAATCTTTTCAGTCGATTCAAACTTCAGATTCTGTACCGTACTATGTGTAGTATGTAATAGAGTAGTAAGAGAAAAAGGTATATAGTCAAAGGGCTACCGGTAGGGGAGAAGATAGAAATTACTAATAAGTACCAGGTAGGTAGGTAGGTAGGTAGGTAGGTAAGTAGATATTTAGTCAGTCTTTCCTCCGTATTGGTACTAAGAGAGGGAGAAGATGAAAAAAAAGGAGGATCAGATCAGATCAAAGCAGATCAAAGCAAAGCTCACACAATATACCATGAACCACAGACAAAATGGCGTTACGCATAGTATTTTGGGATTTTTTGATAGAAAAGTCAAATCAGGGTCAGAACGGAGAGAGAGACAGCAATGGCAATGGCAATGACAATGACAATGGTAAGATCAAGGAAGTTTAATACTATGGATATCGTATACAAGACTGAATTCATCACTTTATTAGTCAGGGCTGAATGAAGGTAAAGGAAGTCAAGCTTTTCTAGTATTTCCCTTCTCTTCTTCTCTTCTTCTCTTCTTCTCTTCTTCTCTTCTTTTCTCTTCTCCTCCCCTCCTCTCCTCCTCTCTCCCTCTCTCTTGATCTACCCAGTCGACCCAGTCCCAGTATCGTAAAGATTCATCAAGCAAACTCGCAAACTAATGAAAACGCTTAGAGCACTTCCATCGATCGAAATGTCACATGTCATGTGATCAAACCCACAAACTCACCTAACCCACAGTTGCCACAATTTAAACCTTGTCTCACATTTGCTGATCCTTGTTTAGTCCGTCAAGTAATCCTGGCGAAATGTGAATCCAAGGATGATAACTAGGGGAGAGAGTGGGGTCATTGACAAAAAGCATGCGCCTTCCGAAAATAAGCGAAGACATACCCAGGTAGGTAGGTATGTACTAGGTAGATACTGCTTTACCCAGTCCAGTCCTGTACTCTGTGGGTAGAATGATTAAAAATAATCCAAGACGGCTTCCTACTCATCAGTATCTGCACGCTGCAAAAATAACAATGAAGGGGCAGAATTACCTAATCGGAGTTTAGAGTCAGAGTTTACAGTCAGTCATTCTTCCCATCAATCATTTGATTAAGTACTACCTATACACTCGCGGTTCACGGCCCAGGTAAAGACAAAGCACATCTTATTCAATATTCGGTTCATTATCGAAATCAAATGCAATGTGCCTTTCCTCATTGCCGAATGCTTCATATCGGACGGACCGGAACAATATCTCATACTTACCGGTCGATACACCTACTAGATGTCCAATTTTTCATCAACAAAAATGTAAAAGTCCTATCAATATCGACAATCCCCGGTTCTGAGGAGTCAAGTTCATACGAATTCGTTATGAATAACCTCATTGGTGAATCAATTATTCCTCGGTAGTATCACAGCTGGCCACATGCAACCAACACCCTTCCTATATCACCAAGAGGCGCACCATGAGTACGAACGAAGTAGGCTTCCAATTGCTTGCATGTTATTTACTAAAGTACTAGGCAGATGGATTAATTATCTTGTTCCCCCATGTATGCATGTACGGGCATTAGCTTTCACAAGTTATTCTCAATGAGGCATAAAACTATCCTTGAAATCAGCAAGACGCCACTGTAGGTACGAGATATGCAGAGAGGAGGATGCTGCCCGTTTCGTCACAAATTTGTACTTCTCGTCGCGGATAGGCTAGAGAGGATACTAGGTAACATCCTCTACAGCCACGTTCTAGAGAGAATCCATTAAATTGACTTTGAAACTAACGACTATACTAAGAAATAGCTGGCACTGTTACGACTGTCGATTCAGATTACCACTTCATTATCAACCTTTTTCAACAAGCGCACACCAATACATCATATCATTGCAAGAAATCGTTACAAGTAAGTTTTTTGAAGTTTAAACCAAAGGTGATGATTTCGCATACGTGTGCTTATTGAGGGGAACCTCATCCACCCGAGCCACCCTGGATTCAAACGCTTCAGACTATCTTGTACATCAATATCACGTTTATGGTTTGCCGTACTTAGCATACCTAAACCCTTCACTCGGAATTGTATCAATCATCGGTAAGTAAAACATGGGTGGAGAGACGAAGGATGTGTGTGTAACTGGAACCTTTCGGACGGGATAATAATTCGCGCCATAAAAGCATTCATGTTTGACGGCCCCGGATCAATTGCTTAACCGAAAATGCCGGTTACGGGAAAGGTCATGTGACTGGCAACTTATTGACTGTAGAGTGGCTCAAGTGGGTAAAGAATAGGGGTTTGAGTTTTGGATGCCTTGGTCTTGAGGGATATAGAAAAGGAAGGTGTTTCTAGAAGTTTTAAGGAAAGAAACAGAATTGTGACAGATCGGCGTAGATTTCTGTAACTGACATGAGGTATTTTTGATATTCATTAACAGGGCTTTCTTTCTTTTCTTCGGGATACTACTTAAGTATGTTCTTATTGTTTTCAAGTACCAATGAATGTAAAAGTCAATAAAAATATTAATCCGTCTGAAAAGTTCAAGTCTTCGGCTTCTCTGCATGAAGCTATTTCCAGATGTTAGACAAGGTGGAAAGATGGAAATGTGAAAGGGTGGAAATATGATATTGATAATTGAGTGCTGTGGGATCTTCTTTCCTCTTCATCCAAGGTCTTCCAACACAAGAGGTATAGCTGTTATTCCCTAAGGATACTTACTTGAATATAGTAATCATGGACCAATAGACACTAAACAACAGCGACGACAGAATTTGATACCACGATCGATCAGAATAATCGTAGCTAGATACCAACTTAAATGTTATTATACTTGAAGCCGACTACCTCATCTCATAAGCACATTTACAAGAAAACAAAAATACATAAATAAATACATAAATGAATACTGGTAGATCTACACAATAACATACCGACAAACCAAAGATAAGATTAGATCCCATCCATCCATTCCACTCTAACCAATACTCTACATCCATCGACCACCTCGAGACCACCCAGAAAACCCCCCAACTTTCTCCCTCCTCCAAAAGCAGGTACAATCGAATCGCATACAGACGGAGATAAGCTGCACCCATATACCGATGCACCAATGAGAGGAAGTTGCGCGAGAAAATATCCGAATGCGTCAGGCATTACCTGGTACATAGCTACGGAGTACGTACGAAGTACCTGGTCGAGGCCGATCACTCTGAAGTAAGAATGAGTGAGCTGATTCCAGGGCGCCGGAAAACAAAGATGCCGTTCTTGTTCGTATCTTTTGTGTGGGATGGGGGTGTGGAAGCTTGGGAATGGGTTGGATAGGTATCTAGGACGAGGGATGGGGAGATGGATAGATGGATAGATCGGAAGTTATGATCTTATAATCACATCATATGGATCTTTTGCATGGCTAACTTGCTGGCCCCTTTGTCTAGATGTGGAGGAGAAGAACATCCGTCGTACTATCTACCTAGGGACCTACATACTTCGCAGTAAATACGTACCAGCTACAAGGAACGCGGGATCTATGTGAGCTGTTGTGTTGCTGGTAGACTCACTCGAATGACAATCCCACAACCAACCCACAAACGAAAGATTCTCGTAAGAAATTCCAGGTTTTATGGAGAAGACTTATTACTATTCGAGTGTAAGTACAAGGTTACGAAAAGGAAGCTAATTTTATCAGATCGGATATCGTGAATGACTTTTGATTCGTGCGGGATTTGATGAATATCTATCTAGTACGATGGGTATCTAGTAAATATTTGAGGATATTTGAAGATACCTTAACTTCTTCATTGGATTTTAGTTGGGGGTTTTCTTAATTCTTTTTTTTTTCCCCCAAACCCCTTATTATCTAGGTAGGGAGAGAGGGAGATCTAATGCTAGGTAGGTAGTTCTAATTGATATTTCCTACGATTGAAGAAATTCTATTAGTCAATTGTAATAAAATCGAAAATCCTAAAATCCACATTCTCGAGTTTCTAAAATAGTCACATCGGATCGGATCAATTGTATATTTTATAATTTACCTCGTATATATCCAGTAATTACCTACAAACTAGCTATATTCTATTTAGAAAAGAAGAAAAAGAGGGTCTTTCGATTAGAGAGAAAACAGTTGAAATATATCTACCCTACTACCATACCTACCTAGTATGGTATATCTATACCTAGTAGATATCACAGTACATACATATCCCATCCTCATTTCTCCTCCAAAACTTCCGATTGTCGCATCAACATTCGAAATCAATTTAATAAAACATACCGCCACTCTCCTTTTTCTTTCCTTTTCCTTCTTGCTCTTTAATAACTTTGATCACTCGCTGGTGATATATTCACCAAGTCTTTCTTTTGCATTTCGAAGCTTTCAATCCGTGTGTCATTTACCTACCTAGGTGATTACAACAACAATACCTATTCACTCAACAGAAAACTAAAGGAAAGAAAAAGGAACGGATAGGAAATATAGAATCCATTCATTTGGCTTCCTCTTTCCCTACATTTTCCACCTTTTCGACGCCCTTCAAGAAGTCGATATACTTCTCCTTCTACTCCCATCGATAATTGTCTTTTCACAAAAAGATCTCTGCATTGCAGACATTCTGAAACCATGGATATCGCGTTAGAAGTCACCGACAAATACTTCTTCGATCATTTCTATTCCGCTCTCCTCCCCGCCAAACCTATACTCTTGAACGCCATTGGAGAACAAATTAATGGTACACTACTCGATCCGAAAACGGCTTCAACATGGCAATATCATCCTTCGAATTCTTTTCTTCAGTTTGAACCGTCAGACGCGGCATACACCAGTCAATGGGATAGAGATAATATTTTTCGACAAGCTTTCTCATTGTTCCTGATTACTTGGTATGTTTCTTCACTTCCAATGCGATTCAAGATGTATAGGATATGAGCAAATACTAATTTTAATTCAATTGTAGGATCGCAGGTGCAGCCATTTACTTTACAATCTCTACTCTCTCGTACCTATTCGTCTTCGATAAAACTACCTTTCAACATCCCAAATTCCTCAAAAATCAAGTTCGCATGGAAATCTCTCAAGCATGTAACTCGATGCCCTTGATGTCCATTCTCACCACTCCCTTCTTCCTCGCAGAAGTTAGAGGCTATTCCAAACTATACGATCTCACATCTGAAGGACCGGGTATGTGGTACAATTGGTTCCAATTTCCACTTTTCCTCCTCTTCACAGATTGTTTCGTCTATTTCATCCATCGCGGTCTCCATCATCCTTCCGTATACAAGACACTTCACAAACCACATCACAAATGGATTATGCCAACTCCTTACGCTTCAATTGCTTTTCATCCCGTAGATGGCTGGATGCAATCTCTTCCTTACCACGTCTTTCCCTTCATCTTCCCACTTCAGAAATTCGCATACCTCGGTCTCTTCTTCTTCGTACAAGTCTGGACAGTTTTTATTCATGATGGAGAATATGTGGCCAACAGTCCAATTTTGAATGGAGCCGCTTGTCATACGATGCATCATCTTTACTTTAATTATAATTATGGTCAATACACAACACTTTGGGATAGATTGGGAGGTAGTTATAGAAAACCAAATGAGGAACTTTTTAGAAGAGAAAGTAAGATGGGACAAAAGGAGTGGGAGAGACAAGTTGCGGAGATGGAGAAACAGGTTTTGGAGGCGGAAGGAGAGGATGATAGAGTTTATGGTGGAGTGGAAAAGAAGATGAATTAGTTTGAACTTTTGAAGATTGGCAAGGCATGTATATATGTCAAATGGCCTTTGGAGTGGGAGGAAGGGAAAGGAAGGGGATGATGCATTGATTGTATATATTGCATGGTATGACATGAAATGGCATTTTTGATGTAGATTCATGTCAGTTTGAGAATAATGGATGGATGGATGGATGGATGGGATGAATTGCATATGAAGGCGTTCCAATGTTATAAAACATTACGGTAGAAATATTAATGTGGATGGATAGATGATGGGTGATGGGTGATGAGCCAGATGAAGGTTGATGGTAAAAGGATAGGGATAGGGATATGGACTATATTTTGTGTCTTTCCTAGTTGTATCACTTTACCTCATCTCTCATCTCATCTCTCATCTCTCGTCTTTCGGTTCGTTAGATGTTAGATCACTTGTGTGCTTTATTTTACTTTATTTTAATTCATTTTACTCTCTACTTTACTTTATTTTTAATTTTGTCAGATTTGAATTTTATAATTTGAATTTTATATTGTGTGTGGTTGGGGCGTATAGTTTATATGAGGTTTTTGTGTATAAAATGAGATTTATATATTTGATTTGTATATAGTTTTTGTATATAGTTTTTAGGTATGGTTTTTAGGTATGGTTTTTAGGTATGAGTTGGTTCATGGGTTGGTTCATGGGTTGGGGTTTGTGTAAGGGTTTTGTATATGGTTTTTATATATAGTTTTTATATGTGGTTTTTGGGTGTGGTTTTTGTATATGTATTTTATAAGGTTTTTGTGTGTACGGGTGGGTTTGTGAATGTAATTGGGTTTGTGAACATGGGATGGGCTGGATGGATATATGGATAGCAGAGAACCCTAGCGATGTGCGACTGGAGGATGGAGGCTGGGAGATGAAGATGGACTAGAATCATAACTGGAATAGATGAGTGAAAAAATGGATAGATGGGTGTTTTGAATGTACTTCATTATCTAGCTATTAGCTCGATGTTGGGATTTAGATGTTAGGTATTAATATATTTGACTTGATTGATTGATTAAACTTCGAGTTATTGAGACTGGGGGCAGTGGTTGGCCTAGGTTGGGAGAAGGAATACAAGAGGGGATGGGGGATAGGCGAGGATGAGAAGAGAAGAGAAGGGAGAAGAGGAGAGGGAGAATAAAGAAGAGGGAGGAAAGAAGATCAAAAAGAGAGAGTTTGGGAGAATAGGGGGTGGAAGAGGTACAAGGAGAGAGTGGGATGTTTGGAATAGGATATTTGAAATAGAATGTTTGAAAGGAAGGGTTAAAGAAGTAGAGGAGGAAAGGAGGAAAGGAGCAGAAAAGGAGGAAAGGAGAAGAAAAGGAGGATAAGCGAGAGAGAGAATGAGGGGGGACGAGACAGTTTTTTGTCTTTGTTTTCTGGATTGTATGCGGGTATTTAATGTCAAGGGCTTTGTTTGATTTGTTGATTTTTTTTGATATCACTTGTTATGTATAATTGTAATATCTATATAAAGTGAAGTGATAAAATTATAAGATAGAAGAGAATGAGGGGAATAAGATGAGTATAGGGTAGAGTAGTGAGATTGATGACGATGACGATGATGATGAGAGGTTTTACTATGTTTGTTTGTTGGATATCTAATTCTGTCTTCCGAGAGAAGATATGGGAGGAGATATGGGAGGAAAGAGGAGACAAAGAAGGTTAATATATAGACCATACAGCAATAAATTAATAAAGACGTTCAACAACCTTCATTCTGAAGATAACCTAGTATTTATTTTATATATAAAATATATACATATAGGGAAATTAGTTTGATGGAAGTGTTTTGATTGTGTTATGGATGAAGAAAGAGGGAAGGGGAAAGAGAGAGAGGGGGAGGTAATGAGGGGGAGTCAATGAGGTTTATGGGGCTTGTAAGGGGTGGTTATAGGGTGAAAGGTGGGTGGGTGGGTGGGTGGATAGGTAGGCAGGTAGTCTAATGTGATAATGGGTTAATGGGTTTGAGGGATGAGAGGGATGAGAGGGATGAGAGGGATGAGAGGGATGAGAGGGATGAGATGAGATAGTGAGATGATGAGATAGTAAAAGCTCTTGAAAAAAAGACTTCCATCCATTCACACACATCTAGAGCATAATGAAAGATAAACCTCAAAACAATGAATCAAGACAGAGGAAATATCTATATATATATCAGTTATTTTCATAGTCTTATTACTCAGGGGGTTGAATTTATAGGTAGTGAGTCAGTAGATAGATAGAAGATATGTGCAAATGGAAATGAAAACTTATACGTATGTACATCTATATGTGTGCAGGAGATAAAAATATATTAATTTCTAGTATCCTACTTAATACTTCTATTCTAGACTTCAATCCAATGATTCACAATCTATAAAATAGAACTCCCAGCCTCATCCGTATACCAGTAGCAGTCCAAAAATTCCAAAACTCCTCATGCCTTTATAAAATATAGATATAGCCATGTGTAGCACATGATGTCTAAATACCAACTCCGACTTCAGCCCATTTCATACCATCTAACTTTTCTAACTGTGGAAACTTGAAATCGTTCTTTTGACTTCTAGGTTTTGAGATGAGTGGGATAGGTATTGTTGAGGATCTCATACGTCCTGACCCATAGTATACAGATACTTAGATAATGTGACGATGTGGGCATGCTGACCACCACATGAGTCTTTCAACCATATGTACGAATAGGCCCAGCTGATTGCACACTCCTTCCACCTTCCCTTTACTCTCCCCTCCAAATAATTACTCAACCTCATCCAAGTCCTCCTTCTCTGTCTCCATTCCTCTATCACTCTCCCATATCCTATTTCCAACACCTTCGACATCCTCGACACTCTCCAAATATCTCTCACCTCAACACCCACCAATAAGCTCACTCCCAAAAGCAATGGAATATCAATCACAGCTGAATTTCTCTGCATATGTGTTTTCTTCCAATACCATAATCTCATTCTGTTCATTGGATTTGTCAATGATGAACAGATAGCTAGATGAGCGAGATGGGATGAAGGTGGTGGACGAGGAAAGAGAGCTCGGTCGAGACGAATGAGGGTTTTGATTGTTTTGCAAAGGAAGAGTGAGGGTGGCATTTCTTTTATGTGTATAGATATTTTCTAAAGGAGTAGGATAGGTTGAGATAGGTTGATGAATATGATGTGTGTATATATAGTGTGTATGTATAGTATATATGTGTAGTGTGTATGTATAGTATATATATGGTGTATATATGTGTATGTATAGTGTGTGTGTGTAGTGTATGCGATATAATGTTGGAGTGTTGGTGTCGGAGATTGTCATCATATAACAATCTCGATACAATTTGAAGTAGTAGTCTGACTATTGAAGAACTCGAAGTAGTAGGTGTGATAGTAGTGATCGACGTGGTGTAGTAATACTCCTTATTCAATAACGAAGAAGAAGAAGAAGAAGAAGAAAAAGATATATTGAAAGAGAAACCAGTCCCGGAAAAGTTTCTTGCCGTGCCGGCACTAAGATCTTAGGGCAAGTACGGAGAACTATTCGATTAAAATTTGCAGTTTTAGTCTCTGAATTGCTGGATGATTGATCGATCGATTCAGTTTTGGTGTTTTTTTGCAATTCGTAGATTCTGGATGATAGATGGTAGGTAATGAACGGTGGATGATACTGTAAATGGCAGACGATAGACGAGAAACAAGCGACAAAAAATTCCTCCCTCCTTCGATTCTAAAAATCGAAATTCCATCGGAGAAAATCAATCCTTAGATAAATCCGACAGCATCATCGAGTTGAAAAACAATATCATCCCACCATCTCTTATTTCGAGGTCCAATGATGGGTGCCAGCATACCATTTACATCACCTCCATCTCCATCTCCTCCTTCACCCCCCTTTCCTCTTCTCAACAATTTGTCCCTAATCTTTTCATCTGCTACAACCCCAATAAGCCCTCCTACAGCCAATGCAATAGGAATTCTCTTTCCGAAAGCAAACTTCTCCCCCTTTATTTTCTTAGCCCACCATTCATAAATTCTCGTTTGAGGTGTAATTGTGGGGGAGGAATCTAGATGGCGGGGTTGAATGACGCGAGATCTCGGCTGGATAGGTGGGAGAGAACGACATGGATGTGTTATGAGAGATCGAATTGGATTGTAGTGACCACGCATTTTTACGTCCGTGTGTGTGGATTTTTGACTGAAGTGGAGTGGAGTTTATGTTCAATATGTACTGCTACTGGCACAATTTTCTTTCGGTTGTGAGAATAGGAGAAGTAATCTTTCGGTGTAGAGTTGATATCGAAGAATCTGTGTAATTTTCACCATAGAATGGTTTTTGATTAAAAATTAAAAATTAAAAATTGTGTGATTAGGATTTTGTGTAATGAATAAGAAAGGAAAAGAAATCTGTTCAAAAGTATTTATACCTTTTTTTTTTTTCGCACCAGAGAAACGATCGAAACTCTTGAAGAACTACTGAGTACACTACTACTGTACCAACCCACCAAGCGAGAGGTCCATTACTAAGGTTATCTAAGTCTGAATTAGTGCGGCACTACAGTACCCCACCACCCATATGAATCATTCGAGCATTAATACATCCCAAAAGTTGAAGAGTCATTATTTGACTCCATTTCTTTAAAACCATTCAATTGAAATAATCTCAAAGTCTCAAAACATTCACCGCAATTCAATTATCTGGAATAAACTATATAACTCATAATCACAAGCACATTCATCCCTTTTGCCAACTCAATCAACAATGCCATCCCGCTCAGAAATCACTTATTTCGGCGCTGGTCCCGCACTCCTCCCCACCGATGTCCTTGAAACCGCAGCCGCAGCCCTCGTAGATTACAACGGTACTGGTCTTGGTTTAGCAGAGCATTCGCATCGATCTGAGCTCGCCGCCAATGTATTGAATACCGCGAAAGCAGATTTGGCAAAATACTTAGAGGTTCCAGACGATTATGAAATCCTCTTCATGCAAGGAGGTGGCAGTGGAGAGTTTTCCGCAACGATATACAATTTAGTTGGAGTCTGGGTCGAGAAGAGAAAACAAAAGATTCTAAAGGGTTTGGGCATTGCATCAGATAAGGACATTCCAGAAGATGCGCTGGTAAAGGAACTTCAGAAGGCGGTAGATGAGGAGCTTAAAATCGATTATTTGGTTACGGGATCATGGTCTCTCAAAGCTAGTCAGGAGGCAGCGAGATTAGTAGGCGCGGAACATGTCAATATTGTTGCAGATGGACGAAAGATCAATGATGGGAAATTTGGAAAAATCCCCGAGGAGAAAGATTGGAAACTCTCGAAGAATCCAGCAATGGTATACTATTGCGACAACGAAACGGTCGATGGTGTCGAGTTCCCCGGCTTCCCAAAATCTCTAGAGCCAAATGGAGAAGAAGACGAACCCATCGTAGTAGCAGATATGTCTTCCAATATCCTCTCGCGACGAGTTCCCGTCAAGAATTTCTCTGTCGTCTTTTTCGGTGCACAGAAGAATTTGGGATGTACAGGAGTCACCGTGGTGATCATCAAAAAGAATCTCCTTCCCCCGGTCGTCGCAACACCGGCTCCAACTCTCCTACGTAAACTTGGATTACCAATTGGTCCCATTGTTCTCTCCTACGAAACAATCGCCAAGAACAACAGTCTCTACAACACCTTGAGCATATTCGAGTAAGTCTCTCCATCTCTATCCCCCCCCCTTTCCCATGCCCACCCTATCTTACCCTACCCAACCTCCCACTAACACCCCACCCAGCGTCTACATCGCCGGACTCGTCCTCCAAAAACTCCTCGCCACCTACCCCGACGGCATCGCCGGGCAAGAAGCCCTCTCCAACAAAAAATCCACCCTCATCTACACCGCCCTCGACGCCCACCCCTCCATCTACAAAGTCGTCCCCGACGTCTCTGTCCGCTCAAGAATGAACATCTGTTTCCGCGTCACCGCATCGGAAGATATCTCTGAAGCCGAAAAGTCATTCTTAGCAGGTGCCACCGAGAGAGGTTTGACGGGTCTGAAAGGTCACAGAAGTGTAGGTGGTATTAGAGCCAGTAATTATAATACTATTACCTTGGAGGGAGCGGAGAAGTTGGCAGCGTGGATTCATGAATTTGCCCAGAGGAAGTAAAAGTATTTTAAAGGTAGGTGGGCGCGAGATCGTTGGTTGGAAGGACATGAAATGTTCGATATGAACAAAGTATCTGTATTATATTTACAAAAGTTTTGCCATCGACAATGAAATTTCGAATTTAAAAGTGGTCACTTGTTCTCTTTCAGGAAAATGGGTAGATCCGTACGGCACACCTATTCATTCAGACCAGCGATTGAGTGACAGAGGCATATGTTACAAGAAGTTTTAATCTCTGTGTGATTCGGAACATGTACTATATTCGTCGTGTCAATGATAGGAATTATATCACATTATTACTCATCCTGAAGGGAGAGTCCCATCCTTTAAGGTATATTTCATATTTCACGAGAGTCCTCGAAGATACCTATGTAGATATGCACTTCTTCCCCCTAATCTACTACTCAAAGCCCACAACTCATGGCCGGCATCTCATACATCCGTTGATTCCAGAAGAAACTAGGTAGCCAATTCATAAATCAGCGACTAGCAAGCTGCAAATTATATCTTTGACCTCATCGTCCCAGATCCATCCTACCATAAAACTCCATTCGCTGCATTTCCCATGGCTTGCCAAGCAAATCATTGGTAATCCAACCTATCCATCCCAGCCAGATGCAGACCGAAGCAAATTTATTCCAGAAAAAGTCATCATAGCCTCCAAAACGCCCATCTCGTATCATACCAACCATGTTCAAGAATTAAAAGAAATATCGTACAAGGAATTAGGTAGCTAGGGAAAACAGGTTCGAAAAGAAATCACGGATGCTAAAAAGCAAAAATATTGTGAATCTACTCTTCCCTAGCTAACACCTGTTCCAGTCAAGAATCCAGGTAACTCGGTCTAGGAACAGGTGCTACACCGCTTAAATAACTTGGTCCAGAGAATGACGAAGTCATTTGCCTTTTCGGTGGAGGCCTTGCAGGCGATTCTTCTTCTTCATCACTACTGCATAGATCAATAACTTCCGAGATGGGTCTTTTACCACCTGCTGATAAGTTTAATGGATTAGATCGATTGGATGGTGCTGCCGATAAAGAGTCGCGACTACTTTGTGCTTGATTCAAAGTGCCGTTTGAGGTTCCATTCTTGGCAATTGGTGTACTGGCCTTCCTTCCACCTGGGGAGACTTCGATCAAGTCATCATCGTCATCGGAGAAATCGCTTGAAGCTACACCGGGTCGTGATGACATGGCATCGGGTCTGTTGTAGAGTTTCCACTGTCCTTCTGGTTCAACTGTGACTTGATCAACGGATCTTGATGTGTTTTGTAATATATCCTTGACGTATCTTTGAAATCTGTCAGCAAACGTGATCCAGCCTATGAAAGGACAATTAACTTACTCATCAACGACTAATGTATCAAAAGGTGCAGAATTATTGCATATTGGACATAGCCAAGTTGGTCCTTGTTCTTGTAATTGAAGATAGGAAGTAGCATCAAAACATTGGTTATGCCTACACGATACTGATCGAATAGGCAAATCAATTCTTAAAGTTGACAATGGACACTTCAATGATAGAACTGAAGCAGTGGCCACAATGTCCGCATCTCGTGATTTATTGATCACTTGTGTAAAATTAGGTTCTAGAACACAAATTTTGAGGGAAGGACATCTTACTATCGTTGATCACAGATTCCCTTGTAATTTTCTTGCCAGCCTGTAATCGTTTCACCAAGTCTGGGACAGGAATTAACTTGACCACATATAAAACCAAATAGAATTTCTGAAATTTTTGTTAGCACTGCAATTTAGCGGAACAAAAGTTAATAAACACATTGTAAATCCTGGAGAAAAACATGGTAGGATTGCATGGTGTTTATTCACCTCTGATGCTACGAAAGCTGCATTGAGACCTGCCTTTGTAGTCAACGCATAGGTCATCTCGACGGTGTTTTGATATCCAAGAACCTTCAACCTCAGTTCCTTGGTGATATCCACCGGTCGAGTTGATCCAGGCTTGTTTTTCAATCCTCTCAAGTTTGCCTTTACGTCTCCTCCATTCACTTTGACCTCTGATTGATGAGGGAAAGCAATATCATGTCTCCCATTGCCTTCGCTCGCACAGAATATCATTACTCTCAACGTGGGGTCGTTTTGGGCCTTTGACAAGATCGGATGGTTCTGAGCTTTGACTGGTATGTTGACGGTATGGCGATGTTGATTCATGGCTATTTAATCATTATTAGCATAGTTTAGATAAAACCTAGGAAAGGACCGTATCTACCATCACACAATTTGACCTCTCCAATTTGCTCGACGATGTCGTAAAATGGACTTGGTTTGAATTCAAGCTCTATGCATAATTAGATCGGGCGCATAATCCTAATATCGTGGGCTCATATACTCATTCCATAACCCATCGGCTTATAAGGCTGCATAGCTGCTCTAGGTGCAGAATAATTTGTTGCGCCGTTGGGAATCGAATTGGCAGCTGGAGAAGCTGATCCTTGATATGGACGTGAGTGCACTCCAGCAGCTACAATCTCTGGATGATCTATAATACGCCCTAGCCGATTGAATTTGATTTGGTCTGGCGCATTCGCATAGAGTCTGATTCCTATAGCGAAAGAAGTAAATCGTCAGCTTTATTCTCTCTCCTTACCAGCTGTTGTAGAATCTTGCGCCGGTAGACTGTAGTTTGAGACTACGCAGTGCGGCAATTCGCGATGCGATTATCAACTCCTTCAAGATGCAAACGACTTACTATCAACAATTCTCGTCTGTAATTCTGCCTTGACGCCATTTACTTTCATATCCTCAGCTAAACATATGTTCTTCAGTGTTTGGTTGAGCATGCCACCATTTTTCACCTTTCGTACATATGGTTCTGGGTCGAGGAAACTACCACCCCCCATCGAGGCCATTTCCTATCCTTGGATGGTGCTGAACAAGCTAAACAATTAGTTTTTGAGGAGTTTTGAAAGTCTTAGAAATGGTGAATAGATGTGAAATTGTAAAGAGTGAGATGTCGATTTTCCTTACGGTATTGACGATGGCAACAAATTGATCTTTGTTTTTGTTCTTCCAAATACTCCTTTGCTCTTTCGCCTTTCTTGTCGTAGAATAAATTGTGAAATTCAATGTTCAACTCCGAGTCGTAATAGAAGGAGATCACGAAGCTGGATTAGGCAGGCGGTAAATGATGAGTACGTGGCAGAATAAATTTACTGGATTTAGATTTTGCCGCTAAGATAAAAGATTAATCGAGTGAGTGAATGGAAATCTATCAAAATCATTCATTGCGCTATTTGGAGAAGAAGAAGTTTACATTGATTTTTCTACAATCTGCCACAACATTCAACAATACTCTACAATATCTTATCATATTCAAACACAAAAATGGCTAAGGGTGCGCGCTCAAGTTCTATCAAGGCAAATAATTCCGCCTTAAAAGCCAAAGTCTTTGGTCCGGTCGAGAATGCACGAGCAGAGAGATTGAATGCGAAACTTATGGAATTGATCTCACAACCAAAGCCATCAGCGAAGACAGAAGATGTGAGCATGGAAGTAAAAGAGGGAAAGGACGAAGAGGGTATGAAATAAACATTCCTTTCGAAGGATTTGTTCTCTAATCTTCTATTTAGCATCTGCAAAAGACACCTCGAAAGCCACCGCCGCCGCTCAAGAGAAGCCATCCGAAGGTATTTTAAGACTTCACAATCTACCGCCTACTCGAATCTTTGACTGACATATGAAACTGCAGAAATGGAGGTAGATGCCATCAGCAAGGTTGGCTCCAAGTCAAAGAACCGCATTTCGAAGAGAAGAGTTAGCAGTCGCAAATCCCAGATGACTTTCACTACCTACAAGAACGGCAAGAAAGTAGGAGGAGGCAGAAAGCAAAAGATCTATTGAGGTGCATTGAGATGCTGAAAGTCGAAAATCAATTATAATTTATAGGCGCATCGGACTATTGGTTTTGGGGGGCATGGAGTTCATGGTGAGGGGTTTGTTACACCTTCTGGCAGATAAAAATTGAGGAGTAGTTCTAAAGACTTCGAGATGTTAGATTATACCAAGAATTCGAAAGTTTCAACCTTTCCGCCGTCTCCAGTATACAAAAGACCCTTCCCCTCACACATGCATTGCACAAAAAATATCTGATTTATTATCCATGTCAACTGATAAGGATTTCTTATCCAAGACGCCAAAACGCGTTCGCCAACCTGACACCTAGCTTCTCTCAATACGAACTTCTTAAATTATTCTCTTACATAAATACAAATGGCAGAGAATCGTTTGAACTACATAGTTGTCTTATTCTTAAGCTAACATATCATTGATTCCACACAAGCAATCAATGGGTCAGGACTAAAAGGCACAAGATGGCCTCAAGAATACGAAACTCTTTGCTCGTAGTAGCAAATGTTCTCATTCCAATTGCTATATTGATATTTGCTAGTGGTTTCTTTCCTTACAAGCCCTTTCTATCTGGATTGGCACAGTATGAGTCTCTGGAATATGGTACTCCCCCAGAAGCTCCATTCGATAAGGTCATCTTCATGGTTGTTGATGCGCTGAGAAGGTAGAAGCTCTGAAGCAGAGTTTGGCATCAAAGCTAACCTTAACAGCGACTTTGTATTTTCAAACAATTCAGGGTTCCAATTTACTCAAAGGTTGATCGCATATTTGCAACCTTGTTTAAACCGTACTAACTCTTTCCACAGTCTCATTTCAAATGGCGCAGCTCTTCCATTCACAGCTCATGCGACATCTCCTACCATTACTATGCCCAGAATAAAAGCCATAACAACGGGTTCTATACCTTCATTTCTCGACGTGATTCTGAATTTTGCTGAATCCGATACATCTTCTTCTCTGGCGACTCAAGATACATGGCTGGCGCAAATGAAAGCAAAAGGAGGAGGAAAGATGATCATGTATGGAGATGATACTTGGTTGAAGCTGTTCCCAGAAACTTTTGACAGAGCAGATGGAACTTCAAGCTTCTTTGTTTCGGTCAGTGATCCAGTGGCTGAGAATGTACATAGAATGAATGTAGCTGAATATAAATTTCTGTTAGGATTTCACTGAAGTGGACAATAATGTGACCAGACATGTTCCGGAGGAGTTGATGAAGGATGATTGGAATACCATGGTTCTCCACTACCTTGGACTAGATCATATCGGTCATAAAGCAGGTCCACGGAGGTGAGATTTCCTATGGTGAGATTTTTACACGGGAGACTAATCCCTTGACTAGCCCGAATATGATTCCCAAACAGCAAGAGATGGATGGTATTGTCCGGTTGATCTATGAGAATATGGAAGCTCAAGATTACTTGAGCTCGACCCTTTTGGTGTTGTGTGGTGATCACGGAATGAATGATGCTGGTAATCATGGTGGATCTGCTCCAGGAGAAACCTCCCCAGCTCTCGTCTTCATGTCGCCAAAATTTGAGGACCTCAGGCATGAGCGTCAGCGGCTCGAGGTACCTGCTCCATTTGAAGAGGAATTCCAGTATTATAAAACTGTTGAACAGTCTGATATTGCTCCTACACTTGGGGCTCTACTTGGATTGCCTATACCAAAAAATAATTTAGGAGCATTCATTGATGATTTCTTACTATTCTGGCCTGAAAGTATGTTTGTCTATTCACAGTCAAGCTCGTTCGCTAATTTTGAGCAGGAAACGACCGTGTTCAAATTTTATTGAGAAATGCTAGACAGATTCTCAGCGTTGTCACTGCAACATTTCCATCGTTTGAAAACGAAGGGCCTTCCGAGAACTGCCACCAACTATCAAGTAGTGTTGATGACTTGGCATGCCAATGGAGAAGCATTACCAAAGGCCTGGTTGGTCTTCAAGCTAACCAGCAAGATCACGCTGTATGGGTCGCGGCCGTAACAAAGGTAGGTCTTACTTCATGATCATGTTCAATATCTAACAAAGTTTTAGTGGTTGAAGGAAGCTCAAGAGCTGATGAGTGGCACTGCTAGTAATTATGATGTCAAAAAGTTGATTACTGGTCAAGTTATTGCTGCTCTGGCTTCAGTTATGGCAGGGGTGGCGGCAAGGCCATTCATTCTGAACAATCTTAAAGCCAGCATTCCATTTATAGCTACCTGCTTGTCCTACGGTATTATGATGTTTGCTAGTAGTTATGTGGAAGAGGAACAGCATTTCTGGTATTGGACGACTACAGGGTGGTTGTTTCTCTTATCGATCAAGAAGTATGGTTCTTTTAATTTTGCCCTTGAATTCAAAATTAATAAACTCCTAGTATACGTCGCCAATTTCATGGACTTTGGCTATTGAGCATCAGCTCTGTAATGATTCTCGTCGCCACCAGAATTTCTAGACGCTGGAATCAAACAGGCCAGAAATTCGCTGGCGATCCTGATATCGCTCGAACATTTTTCTCTCAACATCGATTGACTCTATGGACACTTGTAGGCGCTACATATCTTTGGAACCTTCAATCACTCGCCAGTAAAGGATTTTCTCGTTTCCCACAAATCCTTGCTGGTGTCATCTCAACACTTTTGGCGACCGCAGCAATTACATTCAAACTTGCATTTACAAATGAAGATTCACCTGAACTTCTTGCAGGTATAGCGAAGACTATGGCAGACAATGATACTGGTATCCCGCTTGTTCTCCGGGCAAGATTGGTCTTCATTGGGATTGCATCTTGTCTGGTATACACCTTATTATCTAGTTTTAGCCTATCAGTTAAACGCCAGAATGGTAAGTTCCTTTTCTTTGCTGCCACTGCAAGTGCTCTCGAAACTAACCAAACTCAAGTTCCCATGCGCACGATTCATGACCTCATAGTTCTGCTTTTAATCACTCAAACTCGCGCAACCAACATCCCCCTGATTCTAGTCTTTGAACTTCAATACTCACTTCTCTCAACCCTTGATCTCTCCCTCATAGAGATCACAACTACCACCCTCCTCCTACAACAAACTTCCTTCTTTGCTCTCGGAAACTCAAACGCGATTTCATCAATCGACCTCTCATCTGCCTATAACGGCGTTGATTCCTACAACGTCTTCGCAGTCGGCGTCTTGATCTTCGTCTCTAATTGGGCTGGCCCTCTTTACTTCACATCAGCTGGTAATCTCCTACTATTGAAGTTATGGGAAAAGGGCGGAGTGAAGCGAAAGAGTGTTTGGAGTAATCATATAACCTTCTTAACAGTATTCATAGCGAGTAGCTTGACGGCGACGATGACAGCCTGTACGGTATTGAGAACGCATCTTTTTATTTGGACAGTTTTTAGTCCCAAATTTTTGTATACCATGGCTTGGAGTGCGGGGATGCATTTGGGAGGAAATGTGTTAGTTGGTGGAGGATTGTGGTCTTTGGGGAGGATGCTGAGTTAAGGGAAGGTAGTAGAATTGTAGGAATAGTGTTATAGAAAAGGAATGTTGAGAATTTTTATTCTCTAAGGATCGGCGGGGAAGAACGTTGAAGACTATTATCAAAATAGAAGCAAGCCAACTTTTCGTCAAAACCTAATGAATCGGTAATAGAGCTTGAAAGTGTTTGGAACTTTTTTGATACTTGATATCAGTTATTGATATTATGACATGAATCTCATAAGAATCTCAAAATTCTCAACGTGAATCAAAATTGTCTCGCTTGTATTATTGCTCGATAGGGGCATCAAATTTTTTAATTATTCCTAGAATTAGATCAACCCAGCAAACAAATCTTCAATGGCGTCCCCACCCTTCTTTTTTCTCTTCTTCTTCGGAGGCTTTGCCGGCGTCGAATCTGAGGAAGCTAATTTGGAAGTCTTCGGCTCCACCACTTCACCATCCTGTTTCCTCTTTTTTGGCTTTGCTTTCTGAATATCAGTGTTGTCTTCCTCTTTTCGTTCCACTTTCTGGCTATCTTCCATTTCTGAAACTGGAACATCTCTCACGATCTTCTCCCCCATATCCTCTTCTATCTCTGCCTCATTCAATTGTGGCGTCTCTTTCACGACTCCTGCTTGTTCGGCAATTTCCTCTGCAGTAAAAACTCTCAATGCACCGAGAACTTTATACAATCGCGCCAAACATCCCATTAACATCAATCCTAAAGTAGCATATTGATTATTGGCTACTAACTGACTGAATGTCCTATTTCTCACACACATTAGAAATTTATCCTCAAAAATCCCTTACTTTCCCTACTTCTCCAATCTAACCACGAACGAAAATAACTTACAGATAACATCCTGGTACCACATCCTCTTGGATAAATCTAACCAAACTCTGTAATTCCCTCTCTTCCCTCTCTTTTCGTTCCCGAGCTTTACCTTTCACTTTCCCACGTGATGACTCCATCACATGTTCTGGGATGATGGATAGAAGACGAGATACTTGGCGGCGGAGGATTCCAAAGGATATGTACCATTTTGAGAGACGGTGTTGGTTTTTATTGCGGTGGTGTGTGAGGTGAAGGAGGTGAGTGAGTGAAAGAAGCGATGCATGGTGTGGGTTTGGGGTTAATGTGTTCATTTTTGCGGGGGATTCAAAAGGGGTGATAGTTCAATGGCTTGTTTTCTTGGCTTTGAAGAGTTTCTTATTTAAGGAGACTCAACTTGCGTGGAAACATTATCGTTGTGCGTGGTCTAAATTTTGGAAATTCATGATGACAGAGGAAAAAGATACAGAAGGTAAGGCTTTAATACTGTCAGCCCTGCAGGAAGGCTGACGCACGGACTTTACGTCGAGAACAAGTATGCAGACCAGAGCTTCATTGACAGCCTTGACACATGCGATATGCGAAGTCTAGAACCTCGAATAATGATACGAACGAGACTATCAACTCTATGAATACCCAACAAATATTAATCCGCAATTCATGAATAACCAGATATAATACGAACTACAAACATTGTCTAACGCCAAAATGGCAGCTACTATTCCCCTCTCCACTACAACATGCTTGACCTCCTCAGAAGCATTCAAATATCCGCTTCCCCAGATTCGCCAATTCCATCGTGATCTCACTACGGAGCTTGACGAGAAAAATGCACGTCTGCGGACACTGGTCGGGGGTAGTTATAGACAACTACTTGGGACCGCCGAGCAAATCTTACAGATGCGACAGGATATTAGCGGAGTAGAGGAAAAGTTAGGCAAAGTAGGAGAAGGATGTGGGAGAAATGTGTTGGTTGGAATGGTTTGTGGATTGGGAAAACTACAGGGCGAAACGAAGAATGGGAAGAAGAGCGAGGAAATGCGGGTTGTGGCTAGGATGAAGGTATTGGAAATGTGTGGGATTGTAGTTGGGAAGCTCTTGAGGAGACAAGGAAGAATAGATGGGGATGGTGGGAGAGGGAAGGGGCTAGTCGTTGCTGCAAAAGTTTTAGTTCTAAGTCGATTGTTGGCGAAGAGTTTGGAAAATACGGAAGATAAGCAATTCGTCGAGGAAGCGAAGAAGAAGAGGTCGGTTTTGACGAAGCGATTGTTACGTGCAGTTGAAAAGACATTGGTTTCCCTCAAAGATTCTAAAGATAGAGATGATCTGGTACAGGCACTCTGCGCATACAGTCTAGCTACCAGCTCCGGGGCGAAAGACGTTTTGCGACATTTCTTAAATGTTCGTGGTGAGGCAATGGCTTTAGCGTTCGACGACGAAGAGGAGTCGAACAAACAGACCTCAGGTATTCTACGAGCTCTGGAAATATATACGAGAACTTTACTAGATGTACAAGCTTTAGTGCCAAGGAGGCTGAGTGAAGCCTTAGCTGCACTGAAGACGAAACCTTTACTGAAAGATGACAGCATTCGAGAGTTGGAGGGATTGAGGTTAGATGTGTGTGAACGGAGGTTTGGTGACGAAATTCTTTACTTCACACCTTATGTTCGGCATGATGATTTGGAAGGGTCGTTAGCAGTTGAAACACTAAAAGGTTGGGCGAAGAAAGCGTCAGAAGTGTTACTGGAAGGCTTTTCGAAGACTCTTCAAGGGGGCTTGGACTTCAAAGTGGTTGTCGAACTACGAACGAAGATACTGGAGGTGTGGATTAGAGATGGAGGCAAAGCAAACGGATTCGATCCCTCTATACTTCTAGATGGCTTGCGAGACGTTATAAACAAACGACTCGTAGAGTTATTGGAAGCTGGAGTTGATAAACTTCATCTAGTGGGGACAGAGATAGAGTCCACATTGGCAACATGGAAAGAAGGAATCACTGATCTACAACCAAGTCTCTGGGATGAAGATATGATGGCAACCGAGCTCAGCAATGGTGGTAATATCTTCAAACAAGACATACTTGCTCGCACGTTTGGACGCAACGATGCTGTTTCAAGAGTTGTTAACAGTTTTCACACTTGGAGACATCTTATTGAGGAAATTGGTACTTATATTGATCAACTGAAAAAACAAAGATGGGATGATGATTTGGAAGATATGGAAGATGATGAAAGTCTCGAATCACGGCAAAACCTTCTTAGCAAGGAAGATCCCCAAATGCTACAAGATCATCTCAATTCGAGCTTAGAAAAATCATTCCAGGAATTACACACCAAGATCACATCACTCGTGGACCAGCATAAAGATAACAAATCTGTCGGGAAAATATCGGTATACATCCTCCGTATTCTACGAGATATCAGAGCAGAGTTACCTAGTATTCCCGCACTACAAAAGTTTGGAATCTCTCTTGTCTCATCGCTGCACGAAAATCTCGCAGGTATGGTCTCAGAAGAACCAGTCTTGAGTTTTGCAAAATCTCTCAAGACAAAGAAGGTCGCAGGTAGAGCATTATGGGAAGGTACCCCAGAACTTCCTGTCCAGCCCTCCCCAGCTACATTCAAATTTCTGAGAGGTTTATCGACTGCTATGGCTGATGCTGGGGCCGATCTATGGAGTCCTGTTGCTGTTAAAGTGTTGAAAGCGCATCTAGACTCCCAGGTGGGAGACCAATGGAGTATGGCTCTGAAAGAAAAAGAAGGGGAGGCTAGTAATGGAACGACTGATTCTCCTACCATAGCTCCCCAAGCAGACGCCGAGGAAAAAGAAGGAGATTCTCCTGCTCCTACTCTTACTCCTACTTCTGTTGTAGAAGTAGATGAAGAAAAGCAGAAGGATTTACTAAAACAATCACTATTTGATATCTTTGTCTTGCAGCAAGCTTTCGCATCACAATCTGATGAAAAGGAGAACAAGCTTAAGAACTTGGCACATGAGGTGGATGCAAAGCTAGACCTTGAGGGGAGAGAAAAGAAACGTGTGGTTAATGGCGCGGCAGAGTATTGGAAGAGGTGCAATCTCTTATATGGACTTTTAGCGTAGATTATAGAGGGTTAGATGAAGAGAGAGACCTGTAATGAATGTTATGAATGGCTTACTTTTGGGTATCTTTCCTTTTGAGTTAAACGACTGAGGCGTTGGGTTCGTAAGAGCCGATTATTTATATGTGCATCATTTGACGATTATGGAGAATGTAGCTACATAGGCGCGTTTCATCTTTTCTGCTGCCGTTTATTTTTTACGATCTGTATTTGCTTGATCGATGTGTTTGGTGCTGTACTTTTTTTTCGCTGCCAGCGAAGTACCATCGACAATAGAACAGTGGATCGATGGTGTTCGTGGCTCTCAGTGCTGACCTTCCTATGTCCATTGTATGATTCACGATTATTTAAAGCTTCAACTGGCATTGTTAAAGTGATATCGACTACAACCTTAGAACAAGAACTGTTTTGGTTTGTTGCTCAATTCATGGCTAGACGGAATGTACGTAGGAGATATTATATAGCCCTCTGTTTACTGGGTTGTATTGCAGGAATTTGGTATAGAATAAGTAAACTTTGTCATATGTTTAGAGGTTATTGTCGTACTTTACTTACCCTGTGCGAATATTTCTCGTACTGTAGACAATTGGAAGGTTGATTCGGTACTCGCGAGGTAGAAAATCTCTGGGTTTAAAATTGCATTGCTTCTTAGGGTTTGAAAATGTTGCTAAAGTTTGGTATCTCTTCTTTCTTTCTTCAATTCGCAGGATTTTTGCTGTTAGTATATCATGATACCATACTATCTTCTAAAACCTTCCTAAATGCCCCCTCAAGAATTCAATTAAACTCCTGGAAGTCTATCTCCATGGCCATAATGTATCAGCAACAACGCAAGAGCTATTGCCAATGCCTGTATCAATTGACCATAGTCTCTTTAGTAGGTATCTACCCTTTTAAATAGATGTCACAAACTGTTCATATACCCAATGTCTCCATTCTCCGTACCCGTAATTGCTTGAAAACTGAGAAAGAGCGCTGCTGTCAAGAATCCCAGAGATACAAATCATATATACTAATATTCGCAAAATGCACGTCTGGCGAGGGAATTTCTGAACGTACGCCTTGCAGAGGAATCGGATGTTTAGATCGCAGGCATGTGATCAAAAGAAGACAATCACCAAGTATTGAGTCTTGATAATGAAGGATACATATTGCATAAGGTTTGCATATCTGCATATCCAAGATGCCAATGTGTGGTTGCAATGAGCATAACAGTCATACCAACAAGTAATGTTTGTACCGGTGGTTCGGCTCGTCACTGGTTTTGGCGGGGATTATAGTAAGCTTATTGTTGGTAATATTTGTATTGTTCCCGTATGTAAGCCAATACATTAACGGTATTTGCAAATTCGGAGGAGAGACGAATGTAACTTCATTGCTATGCTTCATACAAGCAAAACATTCTCCCAAATACTGGCAAATCATGTTGTAGGAAACGGATGCTATGTTATGCTACGCTATGGATGTCGTTTACCTTGTTTCCCACCGGGTTTACGGCACTAGCAGTAACCCGTCAAGTCGATGACGACAAAAGTTCGAAGATCAAGAATTGACTTTCTGCCTTGCATTCACCGATATCAGTAGCCTGATTTGTGCCGCAGAATAAGTTCACTTGAAATATGGCTCATTATGGCGAGCGATCAGATGGTGAAGGAAGGCCAAGTAGGGCACTATGCGGTGGGAGAGACAAAAAACGGCAACAAGCCTAAGCCTCACTCTGACAGGCACACACATATCATCATGTAAGTGGGGTGGTAGGGCATATGGAATGGCATATGGAATGTACTAGGACTCGACAATGGAAGGTGGTCAAAGATGGAGGAGGCGCAGACGCAGACCGGAGGACGAGAGAAACGCGCTCGAGATGAGCAAGTCGTTTTGTGACCCACATTGACATACAGCACCTCAAATGCTAGGTACTCGTATCCACATTGAGCCGCTTCAAGTTCTACGCAACGCTACGATCGAAGGATTCCTCACCAGTAAACCACGTTTCTTGGCTTATAAGCTTCTCCTAATTCTCACCCGGAATTAGGGCGTGGAAGATGCCAGATCGAGACACAGAGACAAGAGGCACAGAAAACAGATATCTCTGACCTTTCAAAAGACATGATTGGGGTCAAGAAGGAAACAATCTCGGTGCTGAATATACAAAAGCAGTATAGTCCCGGAAAGGGGGTCGAGTCATCTCACGGGAATGCTATATCTTGATAGATTTCAAATCACATGATTCTGCTTACGAAAATAGATCAACCCTTGCAGGACCTTGTTCCCGCCTCACTCATTCATCAAAACACGAACCACTGCGAGCAATGGGAGAGCAAGAATAAACGTGCAAATCTTACCGACATTCATATCTGGGTGCTGACTGTGTAGAAAGAATATTTTTATCGGGAATCATCTGGGCGGGTAGGGCTATGTTCCACCACCAAACGGAGACATTGTTCAAAACGGGTTGAACCTTCCGTTATCTAACTGCAAGCATGGGCCTTTTCTCTAACAATTCTACAAAGTATGAGATGAGACTCATATATTGAGGCAGAGCAAGCTTAAATTCACGTAAGCTGACTCTCCACTTTCATGGCTACAAGGTGTCATTGTGACTTATTCGGATACAGAACGGTTAACGGTACAGAGTAGATGGTTGACAAGATGATTTCTAGGCATTGATATCAATCAGGATGGGATTTCCTTCACAAATATTTCTAGCCGTCATATCTCGTATTTCGCTCAAGAGACCTTGGTACATGGGATGAAAATGTGCCGCGATTGATGTGCACCAGCGGCGTTCAATCACTCCGATTGCATAACTAAAGCATATCAAAAAGAAGCCAGAGTTCCTAATGTGGTGACAATGAGAGTTATCACATCGTTAGCTGCATGCTGTAAGCCACATCGCTCTTCCCGAGATATGATGGAGGGATGCTATCGTCAATTATTGGCACCCTTTTTATCTATCTTGTCTATTATGGGAAAGCAGATGAAGAAAATAAGGAAATAGAGGGAAGAGCGATCTGGTAAGGATGCTCGAATATGTTTCCCCAATTGCTGTCATAGCACCTTCGAAAGAAACGGCAGAATTGAGGGCTGATCGTCTTACACACTACTTCTCCTTCATCAACCAATCGAGCCAATCTCACAACCCCAATAACCACAAAGCAGGTCGTCTTACTGATGTGATTTCTTCGATGCTTACATCCGCGGCTGATTGAAAAATGATTTTACATATAAATAATTTTTATCATCAATCAAATGGAGTGACTGGCCCCCACACTTCAGCCGATTAACTAAAATAGGTTTGGTCTGTCTAGTCTATATTTCTTGGTATCGGGTCATTAAATTGACTGAAGTATGAAAAAGGTTCATAGTACATTTTCGAATCTTACGTTTTCATTGGTCAATTTGCGAGTACTTCCTCAGTTCCTCAGTAGTAGCCTGATGAATGCTTGTCGTCATGTACGCCCCGGGGGAAAAGAGGTACAATATTCGGCTCAGACGAGACATGGGACCTGGTGGCTGGAATCATATCTCAATTCCACATTCCTTTCAGCTCGAGGTTACTCAGCCTTGGAAACCTCCTAACATATTAACGAAGATGTTTCTCCATATTGCCCATATCCTTTCTTTAAATACTACTCATTCCACAAAGGCTATTGTTCACTTTTGTTTCAAAAAATTACTTTTTAATTCCTCTTTGCCGAGTCATATATATATCTTCAAAGCTAGCGTTATCCATTGAAGATCTCGGTCGATCACCAGAGACCCCTGCTGCGCGAGTGTATCGACATTCGGATCTAAAACTTTGGTATCACTATTGAGCTGTCAATACCTCAATTGAAGTTTCAAGTGTTACACATTTCCACTGGTGTACCAAGACTGGTACAAATCTCATCATGGCGACATCTGAGCCTCTAGAGTTTCCCAATATGCCGAACGGTAAACAGCGGCGCAATGGGATTAACGCCAATGGGAAAGAACACAAATCAAATGGTGCCAATGGCACTGATTCAAGTAGCGATCAAAACGGTCATTATCATGAAGATAGTGGACTGGATGAATCTTTTGACGTCCTTAAAAATATCGATGGTCACACACAATCAAATGGGCATTGTTCAAGCGATGACGAACATCGACATATTGATAAATCACATCGAATTGAATCTTTTGGTGCTCGTACTACAGCATCAGGGGGTCAAGCGAGACAACATTCTAAGATCCGGACATATACCGATGATCCTGACAGTAGAGTCTTTCCTCGGATATCGAAGCCTGTAGAGCTTCTGAGGAATGCTTATGACGTAGTGGTGATTGGATCAGGTTATGGTGGATCAGTTGCTGCGAGTCGTATGGCAAGAGCTGGACAATCAGTGTGTCTCTTGGAAAGAGGGAAGGAAAAATGGCCGGGGGAGTATCCCAGTGGTACCAAGCATGCGATGGAGGAACTTCATGTATCAGGAAATTTTGCCCCAGGAATTTTACCGGGAATGATGGTAGAAGAGGGAGATCCTACGGGTCTCTATCATCTCATATTCGGAAAGGGTCAAAATGCCTTCGTAGCCAATGGCTTGGGTGGAACAAGTCTCTTGAACGCCAATGTATTTCTCGAAGCCGACAAAGACACTCTGGCTATGGATTGTTGGCCAAAGGAATTGAGAGAGGAGAAAGCACTGAAAGAATACTACGACCGAGCTGCATCTGTTCTACAACCTCAAAGTTATCCAGAAGACTGGCCTGCGCTCCCCAAGTTGACGTTGCTGGAGAAGCAGGCTAAAATCCTAGGTATGCATGAGAAATTCTATCGCCCACCACAAACTACTCGATTCCTTGGAGGACCAAACAGTACTGGCGTTGAGATGTACCCATCTGCTTTGACGGGTATGGATTGCACTGGTGTCAATGATGGAAGCAAAAGCAGTACTTTGGTAAACTATCTCTCGGATGCATGGAACTGGGGAGCAGAAATGTTCTGTGAATGCGAAGTTAGATATGTTAAAAAACATCCAGACCCTAAACAGGAAGGTTATCTCGTATGCTTTGCATGGCATGGAAGCAATCGTGGATCTTTCAAGACCAACATTTACGAAGATCTTCTGTGGGTACATGCAAAGAAGTGCGTCTTCCTGGGAGCCGGATCCATTGGCTCAACAGAAATTCTTCTTCGAAGTAGGAGCTTGGGAATGAGCATGAGCGACAGAGTAGGCAAATCCATGAGTGGCAATGGTGATATGTTAGCTTTTGGCTACAACACCGATGAGGACGTTAATGCAATTGGTCGTGCATCCCCCGCAGCAGATAATCCTGTTGGTCCTACTATTACAGGCATCATCGACAATCGAGAGGGCCATGCAAATGTTTTGGATGGTTATGTTATCGAAGAAGGTGCGATTCCAAAAGCACTTGCTCCACTATTTCAATTCATGCTTGAGAAACTTCCAGGCTCTGAAGCACCGGCAGATTTGACAACTCTCGAGCGATTGAGGCACACACTATCATCTGCAGGAAGTCGTTTCTTGGGTCCATACTACAAAAAAGGTAGTATTGAGAGAACACAAACATATCTTGTTATGAGTCACGATACCAATCAAGCTATCCTCACTCTCAAAGATGATAAACCGTGTCTTGAGTTTCTTGGTGTGGGTCGAAGTGATCACGTCAGAAAAATCAACAACGTTCTCAAAGAAGCCACAGAAGCTGTCGGTGGAACATTCGTTAATAATCCATTTTATTCAACACTAGGCCAGCAAGAAATCACCGTTCATCCTATCGGAGGTGCTTGTATGAGTTCGGATAACACCGCGCAATATGGAGTTACCAATCATTTTGGAGAACTCCTCACTGGTAATGGTACTGAGACATATCCTGGTCTCATAGTTTCCGATGCTGCTGTTATTCCCTGCGCACTAGGTGTCAATCCATTCGCAACAATTACCGCTTTGGCTGAACGCTCAGTTGTTCATGCTGCAAAGAACCTTAATCTTAGCATTGATTATGATACCAGCAATGGTTTGTTGGATTTGTTCGGCGAGCCCAAGCATGCTCCCATGCAATTGCAAAGTTATAGCACACAAAACTTTGAAGTCGAAGAAGCTACTAAGATGATTGATGAGTCTGAAAATTCCAAGACAAGCGGGTTTGGGTTCACTGAGGTGATGGAAGGATTCGTTCATATTGGAGAGAATTTGAAGGGTGACCATCGTGAGGATTATGAAATTGCTGCCAAGACTGCCAGGGGACTTTGCGAGGCTTCAAGGTTCTTTTTAAGTGTCAAAACTTTTGATACACGTAAAAGTATGTACTTTTCCCTATTGAAATTTCATACCATTACTGACGTCGCTTCAATAGTTGTTTACCGAGCAGATCATTCGGCTATGTTAACTGGCACATTCGTTTGTGCTTCATTGCCCGGTAGTCCTTTCATGGTTCAACGTGGAGACTTCCAACTCTTCAACGTCGATCATCAAGCTCCTGGGACTCGAAATCTCACATATGATTTCGATATGACCTCTACTGATGGAAAACAATTACACTTCCATGGATTCAAAATCGTTGATTCATCAGTTGCTCTTGGACCATTAAAATTCTGGACCGCCGCATCAACATTATACGTTACCATCACGGAGAAAGATTCCAACAAGACCGTGCTAGGAAGAGGAATGATGCATATTCAACCCAAAGATTTCCTATCGCAAATTTTCACACTCCAGGCTTTTGGTCGTAACTTCTGGTCTAGACTTCAATCCACCACAAGCTTTATGACTTTCTTCGCAAAACAATCAGCCAATCTCTTCTTCGCTCCATTCACGTATCTTCAATATCCATCCGTCACCTATACCGGCTACATAAATGACACTCCTCCCGACGATACCATTCAAATCGTTGCCTCCGACAACGTCAAGACCCTTCTCCACGTCTGGGAACCCCAAAGCCCTAACATCGAAACCAAAAATCTCTTCTTCATCCCCGGTGCCTCGGTCGATCATCAAATCTTCGCGCTTCCAACCATTGAAGTAAACGCTATTAATTATTTCACCCGCGCTGGTTATCGTTGCTTCGTCGTCGTCCATCGTATCTGTCAACTCGCGGTCGCGGAAAATAACTGGACCACCTTCGACGCGCGTCTCGATATCAAAGCCTCGCTTCAATGGATTCGCAAAGAACATGGCCATGACCCTATCTATACAATCGCTCATTGTATGGGGTCTGTGGCATTTTCGTCCGGACTTCTAGATGGTACCATTCCCGCGAATTGGATCCTAGGAGTCACTTGTTCGCAGGTCTTTATGAACCCAATTTGGGCAACTTTGAATCTGGCAAAAGCACTCGCGGGTCCCATTCCCTTTGACAAGTTGTATAAATTCTTTGGGGGCAATTGGTTCAGTTGTAGTAGTACGAAGGAAGATTCGTACTTCCAACAAGCAGTCAATCAGCTGCTGAGATTCTATCCTGATAAGAGGTGTGAGATTTGTAATAATGTTTCATGTCATCGCTGTTCGTTGATTTTCGGTCGGTATGTATTTTTCCTGTCCCTGTCCTATACCTCTACTTTCTCTCTTCCTCTTCAATGACGCTAATCAAAATACACCCTAGTCTCTGGAACCATAACAACCTCAACGAAGCCACCCATCGTCAAATCAACCGTTTCTTCTCCGGCGTCAACATGACCTGTCTCCATCTCCTTATGAAAATGGGCACCATCGGACACGTCACCGGCAACGCGCCACTCTTCCACCCGCTCACCTCGTCCAAAAACATCCGTCGTCTCAAAGGCATCCCCTTCTTCCTCTTCTCCGGCTCGGACAACAAAGTCCTGAACCCAGAAAGCACCACAAAGACGCTCGAAATTCTGAGGGACGAAAATGGCGGAGGGACAGAGTTTGAAATGTATGAACGGACCGAGATTAGAGGGTATGGACATTTGGATTGTTGGATGGGTAGGGAGGCGTATAGGGATGTGTATCCTGAGGTTAGGGAGCGTGTAGATAGGGTGTGTAGGGGGCGGGAGTATAGGTTTGAGGGGAGTGTGGAGGGGAAGAAGGGCATTTAGGCATTGGGAATTCGGAATGGGAAGGTGGGAAAATGAGCACCATATGAGAGTAACGTATGCTGTATGTAGTATTAGAAATCGGAACTGGGATTGGGATTGGGATTGGGACTAGGATTGGAATTAGGACTGGCTCCGGGTTTTGATATGTGGCACGAGAGATGAGGAGTTTAGGCGATAGTTATTTTTTTCCCCCGAAATTTTGATGGGTTTAGATCGGATTGGACTGGATCGGCTCGGCTCGGCTCGGATTGGATTGCATGCGGTTTTGATGATTTCTTTCCTTCTTTTCTCCCTCTCTACTATCTTCCATTCATCCCCTCACCTCCTCTCTTCAAACCCACAGTACAATACGAGATCTTCTCATTTCATATATAGTACAATAAAATACATCAAATTTGGTTTTGTCTCCCATTAGATACATACATAGATACAATCTTGACAACTACTACCTACCTACCTAGGTACCTACAAATAGAAAATTCTCTCTCAACTATGATAGCTAGTGATCCTGTCAACTCCTCAACTTTTCAAATTCTCAACTGCCAAGTGTCGATTATCAATCTTCATTTGACGTACTCATCATATACTCTTGAACATCCAATGTCCGAAATCCGAAACCTACTATTGTCTACAAATTGTAAACCCCAATGGACCAAATGCAACACAAACACCCCGAGATTCAGAAACTAAGAGCAGCGGAACGAAGGATATAAGAAGAGGAAGAATAGGAATAAAGGGAGGAAACATTTTGAGCCTCATGTAAACTCACTCCAACATTTAAAACAGTCCAGATTACTGAAATCTCTAATCGGGTTCATTCAAAGACAATCCATAGACAACTTTCAGTTTTTAAAAATCAACTTCATTTCATTTCTTGCTATCAATTCCATGATCAACCCTATCCCATTCCCTATTCCATGAACTCATTGATTCTATGGCTCGGATCCGACATGAACTCACTCAATTCATTCCTATCCTCTCAATCCCATCCCGTGGATCCAATATCTATTTTTGATTATTTCATTACTTCATTTATATCATCCTCTGCTCTCCTCCCACCCTTCAACCTCTCCTTAGACCTCTTCTCCATCCCATCTCCATCTTTTCATGACTACCACTCTCGAAACATTGCCCAAGAAGAATAAGAAATGAAGTGAAGTCAGGAAAAGAAAAGCCTCCAAATCCCTCATCGAAAAACCGAAAGAACTTCTCACAATCTATCTAAGCAAGACGCCAACGATCAGTCAAGGAACAAGGGAATGTTTTTTTTTGCTACAGGCTAGGTTTCCATCACAATCAACTTTATTCTTTTCAAGTGCCTGACGTGGATATGAAAAGAGAAGGAGAAGGAATCTGAAAAGTAGGAAGAAGAAGAAGAGAGGTAAGGGATCAAAACAGGGAAACTACTTTTGTTGAGGAGGAGCATTAGCAAAGGTAACACCCTTAGAAATGTTACCCTTAAGACCTTCGACGCAGGCGGCCAAAAGTTTCTTTTCGGCGTCGTTGATCTTGGAGAGAGGGTTTTGAGCCTTTTCGGCACCGTTTGTCTATATGATAGTTAGCTTCCTCAATCTCGACTTCAATTAAAAGTGGAAATAGACTCACGCCAAGTTCAACAGGAACAGAGAAGAAATCGAGGCCAGTCTCCTTGGCAATAGCCTCACCACCTGGAACACCTGGAAGGTAGACGAAAGTTGGCTCGACAATACCCTTCTCACCATTCAAGGCCTTGAGAACCTTCTCAGCGAAACTATCATCTGGTCAATAAGATCTTTTTAGTTTTAGATTTTAAAACATACCGGAAACCAGCGTAAGCCATAGAAAGAGTAGCTGATCCAGCACCATCCTTAGCCTTGACAACTTCATCACCACCAAATTGAACTCTGTTAACCAGAGCATCCAATTTGTCAGCTGGGATGTCAACTTTTGGCTCAGCTTGGCTGAAAAGTGGGACAATGGTCTCTCCAGAGTGACCACCAATAACTGGGATAGTCAATTCTTGTGGGTTTGCCTTTCCGACAATTTCAGCAACGAAGGTCTCAGCTCTAACAACATCAAGGGTAGTGACACCGAAAAGACGTTGAGCATCAAAGACTCCCTTAGCCTTGAGAACCTCAGCGGCAATTGGGACAGTAGAGTTAACTGGGTTGGAGATGATAAGGATATAAGCTTTTGGAGCGACGTCGGCAATGATCTCAATGAGACCCTTGACGATACCAGCATTGATATTGAAGAGATCATCACGAGTCATTCCTGGCTTACGGGGAATTCCAGCTGGGATGACGATGAGATCGGCGTTCTTGAACGCCAACTTGGCACCATCATCCTTTGGCAAGTATCCGGTGATTTTCTGTGTAGGTGGCATAGATTAGCCCCTGTGATATGTTTTCCTTCCCAACACTTCTGAGACTCATCCCATTTCTTCGGATTGTACACGTACAGCTGGGCTCGAGATGTGCGAAAGATCAGCGGCAACACCAGGAGTGTTGACAACATCGTAAAGTGCCAACTCGGTGATGAGAGGAGAAGTCTTGAGGAGAAGAGACAATGGCTATAGGCAACACGATAACAAATTAGCAATCTATCTAATAAGTGCACCTCTTCTGTATTTCATCCAGAAGATCCAAATCAAGTAAACAAAACTCACCTGTCCGATTCCTCCGGAAGCACCAGCGACGACTATGCCTCAAATCAGTACCTTTGCCATCTCAATTTCGTGTAATAAATATACCTACCAGCTTTGAAACCCATTTTGAGATGTGTGAATGTATGTAGAGGTATGTGTATGTGTGATTTTGTATTGAGATAATGAGAGAGTGTGAGTTGTAAGTTCTGTCCCGTCGAGAATTATTAGTAACCTTACTTCGCGCCAATACCCCGCATCGCCTCGCCCATCCAACAAATTGGACCCCTCAACAACTCAAATCCATCCACCCATCCACCCATCCACTCATCCAATCTTCTGCTCTATTACTATTACTATCAATTCACCCCTCACTTCCTTGCTTATTAATCCTCTCTTAACCCTTCCTCGCTCGCTCTCACTCAAATGAAAATGTATATTCGTACATACCTCAAGTAATTAAATTTAATATCAATTCTTTCTGATTTTCTTTTGATTTATCTTTTCCAAAGAGAAAACAGCGAATCAGTCAGTCTTTATTCTCCAATTTGAAGTCGGTGAAGTGGAGAGCTTAAAAAGGGTCAGAAGCTCAAACAGAATGGGTGATTTGGTTGGTTCTGATTTGGTTGGCTGGAGGGGTAAAAAAGTCGAAGGGTGCTTGCTATAGTGGGGAAATTCTTCCAATGTCCCTTTCCAATTGGATACTTTGGGATACTTTGGGACCGCAATAAGGAACTCGGGTCTTACCTTGTTACACCTGGGCAGTTGTGCGTTTCTTGGGACTTCTTGGTATTGGTAGGTTGGTACTGGTAGGATAACTGAGCTGAGTGGATAGATGGTAAGGGTAAGTGATAAACACGTGTAAAGTACCGGTAATGAAGATATATCACATCAATTTCAAATCGAGGATGATTGATCGTTTATATAAAAGTGCCATCTCCTCCGAAATCTACCCATCAATACGTAACCTTGGGTAAGTCTGGGGAAACGGCTATCTAATTGTTTACTGACCGAGGCATAATTCCCTTCGCTTCGGAAATCTACGGACGCGTCTATCGTTCTTGCAAAAGACATGTGCATTATTAGGGGAGAAAGCTCTACGAGTTGTTCCGGTCATCACATTCACATGTCCGTATATCGCAAATTGAGCTCTGGAATGGGATGAGTACTCTTCCGTTGTGGATTGTGATGCCGATTGCGTGAGCTTTCCTTCCGTTTGTAAACGATCTATGAACTCCACCATCTAGTCTCACAATCACTTCACAACCATCACTTTGAACTCCATCCAGATTTCCAAAAGCCGTCATGATGTAACCGATTCATTGAAAACTAGTTTGTATGTCTGTCTCAAATGTCATAAAATAGACCACTCCACTCATTAAGAGTACCTGAGGAACCAGACTAGACCCTACCAATTGAACAATAATCAATTCCCCCATTCCCCAACCATATCAAATTGGTATCCTTTACTCTTCCTTCTCAGCAGCCTTGGCGGCCTTGGATCCTCTAAGCTTTGGTGCTGGGGCATCTTTCTTAGGGGTTTGGGATTCGAGGATAGCGGAGGAACGGGCGACGGCTTCAGCACGGAGGTCAGATCTGTATCCACCTTGGGCGACGGTCTTTGCGACACCAGCGAAGGTCCTATTTTTAGGAAAGTTTTATTAGTATTGATTGTCATTGCTGGGTTCGACGAGGTTCCATAATTGGATCAAACTTACTTTCTGCCGGACTTGCTGTAGGTGGTCTTGTTCAAGCTGGATGCTGGCTTTTGGCTGGCAGAGGTCTTCTTGGTGATCAAAGTAACACCCTTCTCAGATGGGACAACACCAACGGCCTATCCATAAACTTAATTAGTACCACTCATTCCATTTCCATTCCTCTGTTATCTTCGTCGTTGGGGGATCATATTCGTATCGTACCTTGTCGTTGACGAAACCAGCATACTGCAATTCGATTAGCCTTTACTCTTATTGGAGATTTTGCGGTTGAGATTGCTGTAATCGTCCCGATGATTCCATACCTTTCTGGAGTGCTTGTTGGTCAAGTTCAAGGGGTCTCTGGAGAAGGTGCTTCCACCACCAGTTGAGCGCTTGACCAAGTAAGCGTTCTGGGATCCTAGAAAATTCCATAACCATCAGTAATTATCCATCTCTATTCGATTCTCCTCCTGTCTTCGTATCCTCTCAATGTTCGAGACTGCAATCCAACGTTTCCCTCTTCAGTCGTTTCAACTCTCCTCAAGTCCCTCCAGCCTTCGACCCCAGATTCCAATTCCATCACTCAGCATTCCAACAATAAAAACAGGTAAACGTACTGGTAACCTCCCAGATCAAATCAGCGGAAACGTATTGAGACATCTTGACGGGTTGGTGAGTGTGAATTGAGGAAATTCTTTTGGTCGTTGGCGGTAGTCGAAATTATGTCTGAGTATCAAGATCTTGTCGCAAAATCGTTAAAATTCACGAATCACTGAATTTGTGCGTCCAATCAGATTTCGTCTCGCTTATCCTATTTTAGTCTTCTGTCTTTTGGCCTGTGGTGGATTATTGATGCCTTACAGCTGACTCATCACACGACTGCATGAATAAGGCATGTTGAAAGGCATTCGTCACTTTTCCAAGCTCGAGCCAAGATTCACTCGCATGCGGAAAGGTGGCTGTGAGGTTTGGACGGTTAGAGAAATTCAAATTATTCGGATGAGGCGGGCATCAACTGATGAGCTGACGTCTTGTTTCTAAAAGCGAGGTTATCGCCAGATCTTTTTTCTTTCTTTCTCTTCATGACTACCTATTCTATTTAAATTAATATTCCTTTTTCCTTTTTCCTATCACCTATCACCCATCACCCAACACCCAACACCTTTGCGACTACGAAAACGACTTGTTGAAAAGAGATCTAGAGATCAAGGATTCTACAACTGTTGACCAACTGCGCATGAGATTTGAAAGGCTCCGGCGACATCAAAGGTCAAGATGGCATATTTACTCTATACAACCGTCTTCATTTTCCTTGTTATCTCTACTAGTAAGTTTTACTCCCCCCAAGATAAACTATTTGAAACAGTCACATTACTAACACCATTCCAGTCGCCTTTATAACCCGCGATCGCTGGTCTCCATACATCCCCGAACATTACCTCGAGCGTCTTCCCCGATTTATGTACACGCCCTATCACGCACTTCCCCATTCATTCGAAAACGACATCGAATCTGGTTTGACCTCTTCAAACTTCAATCTCTCTCAAAATCTCCTAGATTCGGATCCACGAAATGGACTTTCAGATAACGGAAAAAGAGAAATCCAGTCAATCATGAAGAAAAAGAAGGTCAATTTTGACGAGGCTAGGAGATTGTGGATGCAGGAAAGTTTCAAGAGAGAAAATATTGGACCGGATGGGAAGCCGAGGGATCCAAAGTTTGTAAGCTTTTCGTGAAGAATGAGAGGAGAGCAGATATGGATATACATTCTTCGATGAACAAGCTCGTTTGGCCAAACGATATGATGCGAAGAACTATCTTATTGAGGGTTTTTATCCAATATGGCTAAACTCCCAAATTCTGCAAGAGCTGGAAATTGGGAGAGAGATGAAGAAAGAGGGAGGACAGGGAATTGGATTGGAATACGGATCGGAGATATACCCAGGATGGACGAGCAGGACAGACCGGAAAGGACTTGGACGGAGATAGGATCTGGGAGGCACGGAAAGTGTTTGATTTTTTTTAGCGACGGGCTTGACTTGGTACTGGATGTCATCAAGCAAGTGAAAATGGCGTTTTGAGGTTTCGAATCCGGCATCATAGTTGTCCGGGAATCCCTACGTGCCAGTACGAAGGCACATTTCTTTTTCACTCCTACAGTACTTTCTTTCGTTAATTTTTTTCTTTTTTTCCTTATTTCATTTGTCAATGTCGAAATTATTATTTGAAAGAGGAAGAGGGTTATAATATCCATTTGCGTGTACATTATTATAGGTAAAAGAAGTTGTTCCATCATCTTTACATGTTACTCTAGGTATTCAACAACATGCATTTTAGATCCGAAAGCGAGAAGATCTTGATCAAAGTGAGTTGTGAATATCGAGCATTTGCAAGACCCAAAACAATATCCCACGATATTGGAGATTAGAGAGCATAATACATAGCGGGCCGTGCTATCCACTCCACTTCAAAATCTAATATCCATAACCTGGCTGAGTTGGGTATTACGAGGAGACGTGAAAGAGAGGAGTGGATTGAGCTTTTGATCACTCTTGTTGCATATCTGAGGGGATGGTTTGTTATTTTTATAGTTATTGAAGATTCAACGATAGAGGGGTAAGTAGTGGTGGTGGTAGTAGAAGTCTTTTGTTGCATGTCTAAGGAATCAGAGTATTATTTTTATGGTTATTGTATAGCGTAGGACTAGGTGGTGATCTCATGTTGCATATCTGAGGGGGATGGTTTGTTATTTTTATGACTATTGGATATTCAATAGCAAAGGGATAGATAGTACCAACACTAGTCTTTTGCTGCATATCTGAGAGACACAGTTTGTTATTTTTATGGCTATACAGAGGGTTCAGTACTCTACAGTACACATACTCTTGGTAGAGGAAAGTAGCGTTCTGTTACACATCTCAGAAAAACAGCTGGTTATTTTTTTTATAATTAACCAGTACTCAATATTTCCCGTGTGCTTAGAAGTGTGATAAAGTGCTGAACGTGTGGTTTTGTTGCATCTCTGAAATTGAAATTGAACCAAGGGCTGTTGTTCTTATTCTTATGATTGATTTGATCACTGAAGATAGGATTCGTGAAATGAACTGGAGGGCCTCAAGCGCGGGGGTGGAGGGGAGGAACCAGGAGAGAAAAAATCATGGGATTATTTGGTTTGTGGAGGCTATCTACTTCAGAGGTTTGAGAGGAACCTGGAGTTTTTATATTTCTACTCGTCCTCGCTTCCTTTCCCTCGTACATCTGGAGTGTGGAGAAAGGGAAGATACCATGAGATATGGTGAATGGAAATGAGGATATGAGTGCAGGTAGCAATTGACTTTGCTTTCACTAGGGAGCAATGCAACATGACGCTCTGTAAGCATATGTTATTCAACGTACGTGAGTTCTCCTGATTGCATTCTGGCTATATAGTGCCTGCTTTAGGGGCCATCTCTCTTGCTATTCCCCCATAGCAAAACCCCACTACGTTGATAACGTGGGTTCTTCTGGACAATCTATCATCGCCATTGCCTGAGATCGCGACGACAATATCGGCGGCAGAATATGTCTACTTCCATAACCCTGAAGTTTCCTGGCTTCATCAGCCCTTTCCTATGACTCCTTGCTGATCATCATCTGATCCGGGTCCATACCTTGCCATACCATCTCGCTAAATCGCAAATCGCTAAGTCGCAAATATTATTGTACTATGATGTACCTTGTGGTATGGTATATCTCTATTTTTCTCGCCCTCTCTTGGCATTCGACTCTGGGTAGTTGCGTATATGAGGGATTCTCTAAAGCCCATTACTTCTTCATATTACAGCTGGCCGGCCTATTGTGTGGTTTTGACGGCAATAGCAGAGTTTATTGTGTTATTTCCAGTAATCCAAGTATAATCATTATTTCCCCGTGGTAGTATTAACAATACTCTTAATCTGGAATGTAGCACCCGGTAATTCAGTTGTTTCCGCTTGAACAGTAGCATTTATACCCATTGAAGCGAGAGCCCCACGAATTATGCCGCAGGGGAAGTATAAGAACTGAATGATTAAGTGTTAGCTCATTGCCTTGCGAATTTCGGAGGCATGTGTGAACAAGCAAGAGATACTAACAGGCTGAGCGCGTATAACTGCATTTCCGCCAGGCTCTGTACTCATGCGCGCAAAAGGCCGGAATGAATGGTCTGTCAGGACGTAGACTCCCTATTCCCCATGTCAGTATCAATTCATTTGTGCCAACCAAACAACTATCCGTTGCACCCAAAAAAAGAGGAGAAATACCCTATGATTCGTTTTCAGATTATCAATCTGTTTCCTAAAAACCAACATCCACAAATCCTTACACAGAAACTTAATAACATCCAATGTATCTGTAAACCGAGGTCGATCTTTACTAAATCGCTCCACGAGACCCAATCCGACACGATATCCGAGACTTTCCAGACGGTAAAATACTCGTTCGCGTTCTTCTTCTTCCTCCATTTTTGGAGGCGCAGATGAATTTGGAGAGGATGAAGAGGGTGAAGAAGGCGCATCGAGTGCGTGTACAGTACGGTAAGCCAGAGGGACGAGTTCGATAAGGAGGAGGTCCAAACAAGAGGAATTGAGGAAGGTGGCCGTGGGATCGGAGGCATTGTAGGGTGGAAGAGGCGATTCGAAGGACATTTTTATGCTAGTAGCAGGCCAAGGTACGAGTGATTCAGTGTGACTTGTTTTGGTTTGCGCAAGGAGGATGGAGAGTTGAGTCGATGTGGTGATTGCAAGGATTGTATAAGAATAAGTAAATTGTTTAGAATTACCTTGGGATAGATAATTTGCGAGAGTGAGTGTATATTCTGTAATCGCAAATGTAGAGAGAGTATGAGTGGTGAGTTGATGAGGTTGCAGAGGATTGTTATGTAATTGAGTAGCTTACTGAAGGGGATGATACTTTTGCTGTGATTCGGCCAGAACGTCGGTAAGGTTAAGGTTACGGTTCGCGAAATAATATTTCCGCGCCGTGATTTCAGAATCTTCAACGAATATTCTACACCATACCAGTGAACTTATCAATATTATTCTTCAATTCTATCTTGTGAGGTATGAGTAGTTCTGGAGTGCACTCAGACGTTACAGGATGTGGCAAGATGTTGAATTTTGCAACCTGTCTATCAACGATCAATTAGCAACACCACCAACTGACTGCTGTGATCAGATATCCCACATCCAGACCTTGTGTACGTAGTGAAAGGAGAAAGTTCCACCCACCACGTGCAAATATTTTGCCAGAGTTTTTAGCTACATTGTACGAAATAGACTTGATGCAAATCAATCTGGTATCACTGCAATTGGCATAATTATAGTTAGTTGGCCATATCGACCCGGATTCAACTTAGCAGCTCAAATTGACTGTGTATGGTTCGGTCTCACAGAACATTATTCACCAACCTCTCTTTTGTAACAAGCATTAACATAGATAATTTCAAGACTTGAATGAAGGATGAAAGCACAATTGCATTGCCGCTTCAAACATGAAATTTGGATAGGAGCAAGATGGCTACAGGCCGCCCGACGAAGTACTCCCAGGCCTTGCCGGCGTATGAATGTTCCAGTATATCATTTCATCACCATATAAGACCTATGCTGGGAGCTTAAGCTTGTATTCTTGTTGCATTGAAACCATTGGATAGGCCTGTTGAGAGATGATGAATACCAACAGTATTTAGCGTAAACAGGTCATTACTTGAGACATATAAGATTGAAATTTCATGTTTTAAGCACCAAAACCAACTACTTTCCATCATCTTCATCCACTAATCGAGATACAAAACGATAACTCATCTCCATTCACGATCAAATCTCATATAATCGTTTGTCATCATGTCACTGAATCCATCATCTAAACACAAATCAAAACGGGGGTCTTCTGACGACAAGAAATCTTCGAGCGGATCAGAAGCAGGCTCAGTGAAGCTCCTGACAGCATATCCGGGATTCGACAAACTTGTCAAAGATCTGAAAAAATTTGACTCTTCCCTCAAATTGGGATATCACCATGGAGACACAAGCCTCAAAGCGCGTGAAAATAATTTCCGAGATGCCATGGAAAATCTGCTGAAGGCATCGAAAGCTTTTGCAGATAAGGCTGAAGAGATAAGTAAGCTTACGGCACGAAAGAAGCGTCGAATAGACCAGCTAGACTCGTTTAAGAGGGACTGCGGAGGTGGAAAGGATGACGCAGAAATGGTTTGGAAGAAATGGTTAAAGAAGAGATTGAAGAAGAGAAAATGAAAAAGGAGCAAGAAAGACGAGCTGAGGAAGTCAGACGAGGAGTAAGTATAAGAAGTATTTCGCAAGAAAAGCCTTACAAAGGGCACTGGTCTGAGTGGTCTCATCAGGATGAGTACTTCTTAAAAAAGTACGACACTGTTGGATTCAAACTTGAAGATATGCTTCTGGGGGATAATGGGTTGGAGGCGCGACTAAAGGATTTGCTGGAGAATATCAAGTGGCACGAGAATCCCAATAAGGATTTGGCGTTGATCTACAGGAAGAAAGACCTGGGTCCTCAAGAGGTTGGCATCATAAGATAAAGATAGGAGAGCCTGGTAGTGAAGAGATTGATTGTTATAGGAGAGAATGCGTCCAGAATTGATATTAAGCGATATCTTTCAAATCTACGTGGTCATTTCAATCAATTTCTTTTGCAACAAAAGTGTGAAGCGAAATCAAACTCAAAGCTCCAGAAGTAAAGTCAATCTCCAATTATAAAATTCCAAATAAGAACTTATCAACTGTACAGGTGATTATTCTCTCATAGTTCCACCATACAGTACTAGACATTAAGTTTGCGCGAAAGGCCTTTTTCCACCAAAACTCATTTTATTCAAAATAATATCAAAAATCAATCCTTCGTTTTGATTATGAAAAATCTAAAGATTCTATAGAAATTCATTATAATATTAATAAAAAATAAATAAATTATTTTTCTTAATTTTTGTTTCAATTGAAAAAAATTTTGAATTTGAAATCTCTAAAAAAGTTATAAAATTCGCTTAATTTTGATATATAAATTGATTTCCAAAAATTATTTTATTTCAAATTTATATATAATATCAATTAAAGAATCTAGAATTATAAAATTATAACAAAAAAATTTGTTTAATTTTAATTCTATAAATATAAAATTTATTATAAAGTATTTAATATATAAAAATTAATATTTGATTGAAATTAGAATATTAGTATCTTCATTTTATAATATAATTAGAGATAATTTTACTAAATTATCTTGTAATATTATAAAAACTTTTATATTATATCATTTGATCAATTGTTTATACAATTTTAGATTTTAAAAGAGATATATAGAATTGATGATTTTTAATTATTTATTAAAATTGTTGAGTTTATTCGAATGATCAATTTCGCGCAAACTTTATTGAGGTGACTATATCCAAATTAACTTAACTAAGCATTCAAGCAAGTATTAATGCATCAGCTTAAGAGTGATGAGTTTAGTAGCGCACATTATTACTATGAATCTTCAACACTTCTTTATTGTGCCTTAAGAAACATCATGTTATAAAGTTTAGCGCCGTACAGATTCGGAATCTAAATATCCTCAACCCCGGTTGTGGGTGATTGATTAGCAAATATCGGATGTGTCCGAGAAGTATTCGCGCACGTGATATCAATGAGAGGTATAAGTCTTCAATTGAGGTATTTGGAAATCCCTCAGAAGTGGTCGCGAGGATAGAAGATGTTCGTAAAATGGCGTTGAGCAATTGAGAGATAATGTAACTTGTTTGAACATCATCAAACAAGGATATCTTGGATCCATCTTTGCATCGCACATGAATTCTTGCGCAGGGTTATGTTACGTTGCTTGTGGTCAAGATACACTGAATCTACTATTGCTCACGATCGTGCGGATATCACTTCGTTCACTTTCCCATAACCTGATTAATTCTACCACCAAGGTTATAATTTATTTCTCTTTCTCGCCCACTTCCTTACTTCATCTCTACAATACATCTACTAACTTTTGCAAAATCTTGCAAATGCACCCCTCTTACGTTTGATTCCTTTTGAATCATAAACTCCCAATTCTATAAGAGGTTTTACCATCCTTGGCGTTTTTCAGCCTTCCAACACACATGAGATCTAGATAGTACACAGGTTCATCTTGCACACTTGAAACAAAGCAAGTCTTTCTTGCGGCATAGTCTGAGAATTCTGAGAATTATTCAGATATCCTGCGATCTTAGTGGATGAAGCTTCCAGGAAAATTCCCACCGATCGGCACATGTCGGTATTCTCTAGCTGTGTAATTTTACATGAGGATCAAAACTCTTCTGACACTACACATCTATTTGAAAACTCAAAAATATCATGGCGGCCTTTTTGGGAGAGTCATATGAGCGTTTCTCCGTTCGTCTGCCATATTCCGATAGTAAGAAAACGCAATACCTGGATGAGTATATGGAAGTTGGAAAAAAAGACCCAGAAACAGGAGAACTTACGCTGTTCATCTTTTCAAAAGAAGAGAAGTTTGGTCTAGAAGTCACCCTAAATGCAGGCTTTAACCACGGATATTATGATGGTGTTATGGTAAAGCTATCAGATGTCAATTCCGGGGATGTTATTTGGCAGAAGAAATAGGTTAGGAAGTTTGTGAATTGCGGGAGATGAGTAGGTTCTATGGGTTAGAATTTAGGGACTCAACTAAGGGGAATGCTCGAGGGGCAATATTATAAGCTTAGGAGCTAGCACGCGTTGCTTTATCATGATAACTTTGCTTGGCATTTTCGTTTCATTTTATTATATTTTTCGACTTATTAGTACGTATTAATTGGATTAGAATGAAATATTTGGTTATTAGTCATACTGGATTAATGAACCATCTAACTAAAGATGTTTTTTTTGGATTATAAGAGAATATTTATATAAGCTTTATACCCTATATTTATAAGCTAAAAAGCTTATAATATTTCAAATTATAAAATATTAACTGATTTATAAGACCAGCTTCAAACTTACACTTAGACAGATTTTTTACTTATAAGATAATATCACCTAATCCAATTAATACGATACGTGATTTTTCTCGCAAACTTACTTGATAATCGAGCTTTGGATCTTTGGATAGCAGTCAACAAACATAACTCAATAGAATTGACAAAATAACTTGGTTCAGAAATCATAATTCCCGTGGCTACATTGTTGAGCTAATGAATTTGACGAACAATTATTCGGTTGGTTAAGGGGAGGCAATTCCCCTCCTAAATGCCGAAACAGCCCAGGTGGCGTCTTTCCGTAGGAGAAAAAACGGGCCGGAATTGACCATTGGCAAAGGCCTTCAACAACTCAATTGTTCCATTCCAATTCAGAGAATTTAAACGTTTAAATAGTTTTATGATTGAAGATTATTCAAGAATCTATTTAACTTTTATACTTTTGTACTTTCATACTTCGATTGATTTATCATAGAATTTACTAGGGTGATCGATTTTGGCCTCTTTTTTCTCCTATGTAGAGGGCGTATCATAGTTCCAAAATAGCGTTCATACGCTAAGTTGAATCACGTGCCAGAGCGAATTATTGATGGAGACATCACCTGAAGCAATATGAGTGACTAGCAGCACGGTACAGCGAGGATGCGATTACCGTACTTGTCGAAAGCAAGAACATAATAGTATTATAGAATTCCTCTCGATGCAGTAACAAACACCAGATTACTTACTTCTAATATATATCTCAATAATGATTCGAAAACTTGGGCTTTTCAAGCCTTCAGGGATTCTTTCACGCATTGCGCGAACACGACGTCCATTAAACTCAAGAAGCTTTCGATCTAGAGTTCTTACAAACTACAATCATGATTCTTCACAGGAGATTAATATTGAGCCACCTTCACCTCCTCAACCCAGCCCTCCGGTTCAATCCAATGTGGCTGCAATAACTCTATTTACCGTGGTAGCCGTTAGTACTATATACACCACCTCGGCCATATACGAGAATCTGAATCTCCAAAAGGAGACACCCAAAATCATGGATATGTTCATCCGAAACGAGGAAAACACGTATGATGTAAGACGCAAAATGCACGAGATGAATTACCCTCCTGGAATATTATATGCTCCGACCCCATGGCCACCCATCCACCAACTCTCCAGTCCCCAGGGACGAGAAAAATTCTGGAATAGATTGATGCCCTCGGAAAAATTCACGTACACCATCATGGCGACAAATATAGGAATCCATGCTCTAGGCAGTCTGGCTCCAGGATTATGGTCCAACATCTTCCTACATACACCCGGCATGAATAGAAATTTCACATTGCTCACCTGTGTATTTGGTCATGGGGGACTGGCGCATTTGGGTATGAATATGTATGGATTCCATTCCTTCATGCCGGCCTTGGGACAAGATCCATCGTTCAAATCGAGTATTCCTCACATGTCGGCCTTCTATCTCTCAGCGGGTGTTGTGGGTAGTTGGGCTCAAGCTTTAAGTGCAGGACTTCGACCGAGGGTCGCGCCGGTACCCTTTTTGGGAGCGAGCGGTGCGATTTTTGCATTGATTGGTGCGTTTGCTATGCAACACCCAGAAGCTCATTTTCAGATTCTGTTTATTCCGTATCCGTTTGCGGCGCAGGAGTTGTTGGGTGCAGCTATGTTGTTTGATTTGCTGGGTGTTTGTGGTGCTTATAAAACTCTTAGATTGGGGCACGCGGTAAGAATTTCTGAAGAATCTTCAGATGTCATGTGACTAATATTGAATTGTTTAGGCGCATTTGAGTGGTGCTTTGATGGGTTTGGGCTATGTGTATTTTGATTGCGAGAGGAACATTTGGAGACCCCTTTGTAGAGGTGTTTATAGATGGTTTGGAATGAGAAAGTGGGAGAAGAAGGTTTAGCAGTACTTTGAAGATGAGTGAGGCGGGGTAGCAGAGTATGGTTCCTGTTAACAGTTGCGATTTAGAAGAATCACAAGTGGAGACGAGATGGTCTCCACTCATAGCTGGTAATTGATTACGTCGGCGTTTAGGTATTGATGTTCCCCTCATATAGTTAATCAATGATTTGTTGGTAGAGGAAAGCTTGACTCCTAGTATCTGAAAGATCACCAGGAAACCGTCGGGAGTGAGTTGGTATGTAACACTACAGATAATGCAAACTGAATCAATAGATTTACTTGATGTACCGACTGAATGAAATTGGTATATAAAATGGCTTGAAATCCATAACCGTCATAAATGTGATCACAAAATAACCTCCTCTGGACGCCCTCTTCCCAATGAGAAATCCCCATTGACACACAGAACTCTTCATGCTATGCCACATTATGAAGAGATAATAACAACTTAGATCATAACGGTTCAACAACAACATCCCACTTGATCACACACACTCCACATCTCACTCTTATCCTTCTCCTTTCCCATAAAATGTCTCGTAGACGTCAATATCCTCTCACTCTCCGCACCATCTCGTAGTCCAACTCCCTTATCCTTACCAGCCCCTGTAAAACATAGACTTTACTTGTGAACCTGCGCGTTCGGTGCACCCGCGTGTTCAATATGTTTTTCCTCATTCGTGGTATTTGTAATCTCTCTCTTCCTTAAACTATCATTACCGGCTTCGACATCAGGAATAGTAGCAGCGGCTTTCTCATTATTGGCGTTAATTTCAGTACCCGTGCCTCGAATCGATCCAGTGTTTGATTCCACATCTTCTTTATGAGCCATTGCAGTAACTCCAAAAAGATCGTCCATCTTTTCAAGCGAGAGACCTTTAGTTTCAGGGATAAGGAACCAAACGAAGAAAAACATGCTGAAGCAGAAGGTTCCGAAGATGAAGTAAGTTCCGTAGCCAGCGCGGCCGACTGTTACCAACACTTTCTAGATGTCAGTTTATTTCATGATGGTGATTTCGGTGAGGGAATGAAAAAGGGTGTAGAAAGAAGAGAGAAACATAGAGAAAATACTCACTAGTAGGAACTGCCTTCGCAACCACAAAATTAAACAGCCACTGGGTCGCCGCCGCAATCGCTACATTCAACGCTCTCAATCTCGCAGTCGGTATCTCACTAACGATAATCCAGCAACAGGGTCCCCATCCAAATTGAAAGAATCCAGCAAATAGATAAATGCAAGTCAAAGCAAAATATCCCACGGGAGGTATAACGGCACCCTTAAGCGGCGGATCGAATCGCACGTAGAAACCAATAACAAACATAGCACATCCTTGTGCAATACTAGTCCAGAGTAAAGATTTTCTTCGTCCGAGAGAATCGGCGGCTAGAAGAAGAAAAGCAGCACAGGTTACCATTTTCACAATTCCATAGACACCAGTTGCGAATAGTCCGGATGTAGTGGAGTCAATGCCGAGATTCGAAAAGATCTTTGGAGCGTAGTAGTTAATGGCGTTGGTGCCGGTCATTTGTTGACAGATCATTAGTCCGATTGATATCAATGCCCGATTGCGATTTCCTTTTATTGTCCACATTTCTTTCATGAGATCAATGAAACTAGCACCACCGATTAGTCGACGTTCGTTTTCGAGTTGTTCGGCCATCTAAGATAGAGTAAGTAGGATTTCGATTAGCCGGATGGTGGGATCATACTTCTTCTAATTCCATGCGAACGTATGGATGATCCGGTGGCAGACTTTGTTTGGATTAGTAGCGCTTCTGAGAGTTTCATGAAGATAGCAAATAGCTTACTTGGAAACTTTTGATAAGACCGCAGTAGCTTTTTCCCAATTATCTTGGCGAGCTAACCATCGAGGAGATTCATGACACAGGAAGATTCCTACGAATAGGAAAATTGCTGGCAACATCTGCAAAGCAAGTGAAACTAAGGAATGAAAAAGTTAGCGTTCCGCTCGCTACAGTTCTGCATTAAAGGGGGTAGCATTACCGATCCATGCTGTATCGCCTTTGAGGTGTAATAACGCGCCGTAGTTGATCCAAAAACTCAACATAGTCCCAGTAGCAATGAATAGTTGATACATTCCGGTGAGAGCACCTCTGATAGCTCTTGGTGCATTTTCACTGACCTAAAGGTAATGGATTGATCAGTTTGGGATCTCAAAAAGAAGAGGAATCCTGTGGAACATACATAAAGTGGTGTAAGCATGCTGGCAGCTCCAACACCTAGTCCTCCAACCAATCTACCGACATACAATGCTGAACTATCAATCTTTAGCCATCGACCAAAACTTTTAAGTCAGTTCCACTCACATATGCCCATCTGATGCACATTGAATGATGACTCCCAGAATCGTGATGCCGGCAGCAAGGAGCAACGCAGGCTTTAAATTATCAGTAAATCGACTTTATGAATCCTAATAGGGGTCATTACCTTTCGTCCCCATCGATCTGCTACATAGTAGGAAGCCAATGATCCAAAGAAACAACCTGCTTGCAATGTACTGACGACTATTTATTATTAGAATCAAACTCCAAGCTCACGTTTCAAAACTCACTATTTGATGCAAGATTCGCTTGCGCAACACTGCTAAGCGTGTCGATATGATATTTCCTGCTCCCGTCAATGATTTACTCAGCGTAGTATAGGAGTGTTAACATACTTGGTGAAAGCCGGCATAACAATAACACCTCCAATTGTACCAATATCTATGCGAATCAGTATCCTCTGTATTCAAGCTTTTGAATACTAGGCTAAACGTACCCCAACCAAAAAGCATGCCACCAAAACAAGCTGTGTATAAGTTAGTAAATATTCCGCCATCATATCTCTTCTCGAGTCCGCAAAGTTGTGCGCATACCGGAACATGCTAAGAAGAAAACCCTCCATCCATAAATTTCCGGGCTACGCAAAGATTCCAATTAGTTCAGAGAATTTCGCGAAGAAATATATATGCTTACGGGTCCCTGTCGTAAAAAAGTTAGTACCGATTGTCAATTCTCAATTAGTTCAAGGTCTCTGCACGTACGTTCTCATAGATTCATTCTTCACAATCTTCATCAAAAACCTTTGCCCAAGTCCGACCGCCATCTTGACGAGTCTATTCGTGTAATCTGAGATTCGATTGAGCTGTTTCAATCAGAGTATTTCTCATCGAAACCAAAAATGTAATAGAAGTCTCGACGTGTCGATTTCAATAAAAACGCGTACGAAGAAAAAGTTGAGCCTCTGCAGGAAAGTCGTGCCTCTGGGAGTTTAGTCTGCCATCACAAATGTGGTCGAATACAACCATATAATATCATCCAATTTACCCCATACCCCATCATCCCAAAGGAGAAACGATTCTCCATCTACCAGTCGAGACTGATATCCATAACTATCTTCCATCTTGGCCAACAATTGGCCAAGGGAGCCAAGTATATCTCCTCTCAACCTCAGATTCCCCACCCCCAGATTTCTGATACCCTGGTTAAATTGTCTACATCTTTACATGGGATAAATCCCACGTTCTATTCATCCAACCAATATGATTTCTCGTTGTAGGTTCTGCATGACCATATCTGGGGTTAATAACCGGCTGGGCGCATATACAAGTCTCGCGTATCCGTGCGTTGTAATCCGTTTGCAGTTTGGTGTGTGGAGCCCCGCATACAGAAGGATGGATGATCTTGTTGTGTTGAACAGGGGGTGTCAATCATAAGAACCTGGAAGGATATTTATCCAGCAATCCCAAACAAGAAGGACGTTCGAGTAGAAGGCATAAGAGCTTGGCTTGAAGCGCCACGCATCAAATGTCAAATCACTTATATGTGTGCAGATCGCCTGTAAAATGTGAATATGGTTCACGCGAGTTGAGGTGATAGATAAGGTTGTGCTATGTCACACTATTTTCTGATTGAGTCGAGTAGGTCTAGGCATACATGTCTTGGAAACAAATAAGTACCTAGAATATCTCATCGTCTATAAAACCTACCAAATGATAACTCACTCAATCTTTCATCTCATTCATCAGCCACCCGGGAACGACAGGTTTATTTTCCCACCCATCAAGATAGTTCTCTGCTTCCCCAGAGGGCTTAGCATATATACCAGTCACAAACCAAGCCACAGTTCCCTTTTTCAACGTGATCTGTAATGTAGGTATCACGGTACGACTTTCAACCAAGTTAGAATTTGGGTCGGCATTAACGAGCATCGCCGTGCGACTACTTTCACCATCACCTTCGAGTGCAGCTATTCCAACCGCCCCTTTCGAAACAGCGAAAGCACCGACTGAGCCTGGCGAACTACCTTCAGGTGTGTTGAGATCGTAGTTTCCAATGATCTTGGGAAGTGTACCTTCATTTTTGGCCGAGTCATAAAGATCAAGGGAGCGACTATCTGATTTTCGTTCGTTATAAATTGCGAATGCGCCATCTGCTGTCATTATTTCCCTTCCAGCTTCTATCTTATGAACCCGAAGATGCCAGTTTGGAGTTTCGTCGACGGGAGGTATGAGATAAGTCTTGATGGTGACATCTGGGAATGGTTTCCAGATAGACTTTAATACCGATTGTTTATCGTGTGTCTCAATGACTGCTGTCTCACAAATTCGGCGGGTTTTCCAAACTTCACCTCTATCATCAGACAGACCAAGCTGTGAAGCCAATGCAAACTGTTCCAGGGAAAAGCAACCTGTAGGCACAGAATAGCCATATACACTACTATACGCAAAAGATCCGTATTTTGCATGGGTTCCTCTCATAGGATATGAACATGCTTGACCTGACGAAAGTATCATCTTGTGACCTCCGAGGTAGCTGATAATATGCCCAGGATGTTTCAAAGCCTTGATGGCTGGGAGCAAGCTTGTCGGGTACGGTTCTTCCTCAGACGTCCAGAATGGGTGATCCTGGGAAACAGCCAAACAAATGAATGCCAAACATGCCCAATATGGACTTCCTGGTGAATTATAATTCTCCGACATGAACATGTTTGGGAAAGAATATCCCACAGTCAAGGTTCCAGTAGGACTCCATATTTGATCTTGAGTTTGCCACCATCTGAGATTTCTCAATAGCAATCCCTTGACAATACCCCATGTCAATGGTTCTGGCAATTCAACATCAGCATATGCCAAAGCACCCCAGAATGAAGACATGGCGAATCGGTATCCGACACTTCTTCCAAATGGCGTTGCTCTTCCTTCTTCATCGAAATAATGAATGAAGTCTAACGCATAATCTTGAGCTCGTTTCTTGAACTCTGCAGCCTTCTCCCGATCCTCGTCACCTGCCAACTTCGCATATAATAGTTGAAGGAACTGTATAGCAAAGCTTCCACTGTAATAATCTTGTTGCCAAATCCCCTCAGGTCCATCATTTGACCATCCTGCTCCTCGGAAGAAAGAATTCAAATGAACAATATCTTGCTCGATCTTCTCCTGAGAAAATTTCCCTCCATTCTTCTTCAATCCTAGATTTGCAAAGACTCGAAACCACAACCAATTTGTATTCGGCATGCTAGAACTGGTCAATACTTTGCCTTGGTTCTCATTTTCATCAAAACTTACTTCTTACTATTAATTGAATTTCCCAACCACGTCTCCACATTCCCTCTCTCCTTCTCACTCAATCTCTCCCAGAATACCGGCGCAACAGCCAATGCAAATCCCAAAGGACACATCTCCACCATTCTTTGATCATTATCTCTGGGCTCTCCCCAATATTCCTCATTCTCAGGATCAGTACCTTTTTTCAATCCCTCAATCCACCATTCCGTCCCTTCATATACTCCTCCCCCAGCTAGAAGTGAACTTAATCCCCATAATGGTCGACAAAATCCTTCAATCTCAGCAGCACGCGCATCGAAACGGACAGCAGTGGAACCAGGTACACGGATTAAAGCTTTTTGCGGGGAGAAATGGGGTTCCAGTGGATCAAGGAGGGCTTTGAGGAGATTTTGAACAGATGTTCGATCATTGATTGAAATGAGGGAGAATGGATGTTTGGTGTTGTATCCTAATGTTAATTGTTTCGGGGATGTCATGATGAAGGATATTGACGCGAATGTGAATTTGAGTCCACAGCAAGCCAAGCTTGAGATGTAAAATCAGAGGAAGAAGGAAAATACCTACAACCTGATATGTAAGTTGTACTATGACATATTTACCTCGTAAGAATGATATGCCGACAGCAAATATCTACTACATTGAGTGTATTGCATCGCGTTGAGTGGGACGCGGTCGTCCGGGGATAAATTGAGGTGGGGGAAGTGCATGCAGGCTAAACTCAATCACTAAACGCACACCCTGTCCTGTCTACCGATCTTGCTCCGCCTTAAATCATTTTGTAGAATTGGAGAGCTACCAGCTTCCGAACATCTGTCTCTACACAACATCTGCGTGATGGTAGTTATGATTCCTCTCCTATCCTCTAATTCGCACGAACTCATCAGCAGTCTGTCGCAATACTTCTTCCGCCATCTCCAAATAATCTGATTCCTCAAGATCAGCTCTTGGCGTCGATGATTCCGGGAGGATTATAGCATCTTCGAGCTCCGTTAGATCATACTTTATTGTTGCTTGCGTCTTGAGGACTATAGCCATCTCATCTAGTGTATCAAGATCCATTGGTTCTTGCTGGTTCTTAACATTGTTAACCACATTCATATCCATTGGCTCCTGCTTGATCTTTCGTCTCTTCGCCAACGGCTCTTCAGCGGACAGATCTACATGGTCTCGATCAACATGCTCCTTCTTTATCTTACAGTTCTGAGTCATATTGGGGCCGGGTCTTTGTGTTAAAACTCCGTATGAGGTTTTAATTTCCTGCTTGGTCGCGTTTGGCGGACCTTGAGCTTCACGTTTGATTTTTGCTAGTGCCCTAGGATGGGAAGGTTGCGGGGCAGTGCCATCATCGTCGAGAACAATGATTTTCTTAGCAGGCACACAAGACATTTGTTGTTTGAACTCTCCTCTTTCAAAAGCCTTTTGATCTTTCTAGATTTGCACATGTCAGATACGACTATGTACTGGATTGCAATGCCCACACACCTGCAGCATCATAAAAGCACTCTGCCTCTCTGATGGCTGCATATTATTCCAAGTGCGCCATTCTCTGGGCTCCCTGGCATATACCAAATTCTGATTGACAGCCAATTGTACTTGAACTTTGCTCAGACTCTGTAGTTCTTTCAGGGAACATTGCCGCTCCGTAGTTGCAAGTGACTTCCAGGGGGTATAGTAAAGCGATGGCGGATATGGAACGATGTACAAATGATCTAGAAATTCTAACACTCCAAGTCAGGAAAGATAAAGGGTCGAGGATGGAACTAAATTTACCGGAAGTGCGGTACATATATTGGAAATTGAGAACTGTCAACCTGGTGGAAGCAAAGTCGTATAAATGTAGGCCAACAGTCGGGTCTTGTTTTGACCCAACCTTAAAACGTCAGATATATCATTGAAACTGATGGTATGGGATTTACTCAATAGAACTAGTCACTCCATATTTTTTGAAGTTCAACTGGTCCACTTTTTTTGCATGCCATAGATGTGTTGAAGGTTTTGTTGAATTTCTTGTTGATGTTTTGATCTTCTCTTTCTCCATAGTTCGACGATAAAGTCCGACAGAAAAATGGCCAATATCGGCTGGATCAAGGCCGATGACATCAGTCTCATTCGAGAGATCTTCGTCGACGTCAAGAGAAGAAAAGATGAAAGGTGCGCCGACGATATCCTCACCATATCTTGCCATGTTGACGCACTCGATGAATCCCTTGTAACCCTTACTAATGCCATTAATTTCTGGTTTATCTTTTCTAAAGATGTACGCCGCACGCCTATCGCCTGAACTCCCCAAGCACAAGTGAGCTTGAACCTGTTGGAAAGGTTCGAAGCAGAATCCTGACATCAGGGTGACTTCGATCTTGAACTTGGCACCCGGCCGCGCGACAATATAACGCTCGCATTTCGAATCACCATGACTTTCTAGATCTCCCAGCTTAACATATTCTTTGAATGGTTGGTTTGTTGCACAATCGATGATCTTCACTTCATACTCATTGCCCTCCTCTGTGAGAATAGCCATGATGGGACTTTTGATGCGCGATTTTTGTTATTGTTGTTGTTGATTGAAAGAACGTCGAGTATCTTTGCGGAAGATGGAAGAATTGGCTTGGCGTATCTCATTAGTACCCGGTAAAGTAAAAGGTTTACAGGTCAAGAGGAGAAATATAAGGAAGTAGAAGTGAACGCGAAAAAACACAGTTGATCTCAGGCTTACATGCTGTAACATGGAAAGCAAAAAGAAAGCTTGTGCGATTCCTTTTCTGAAAATATCACTCACGTGCTATAAACTCACGACAACTGCACGAATCCATCTCCGTCAATTCAATGGTTGAGTATCGTTTTACCTCTGCTATTACTACTATGCTATCTTACTTGACAACCAAGAAGTTATGATACAATAGGCTGAGTCCAGCACGAAATCAACATAACCGCCTTCCACATCAACAGCTTCGTACATCATCGCATCCCAAATTCTAGAAATGATCCGTATGTCCATAGAAACAAACACGAAATAAAAGTCATCTACTCCATCTTGATTCTCTTAGTCTTCGCCTCTGCATCCTCGATCTTTTTTGTGATTTCATCCATCTTTCTTTTCTTTTCCAACAACTCAATATCTCTCTGAAGCTTTTCTTTTTCCTCCCTCAACTTTTGCAACTCTTTCAATGCCTGTAAATCTTCATCCAGATTTCCAACTAGTGGTTTCGTAGCTCGTACGGGCTCAGAATGTCTTACAGTTTTGAAAACTTTGGTCTCGATATAAACATAATTTCATCGTCTGAATAAAGTGAGATAATATCGATTGGTTCGGTCTTGACGCCTGTAGCGGAAGCTTGAGAAGCAGCTACTTGGGAATTGAGTCCATCAATCTGGCTGATCAAGCTATCACGAATGCTTTCGAGCTTAACTTCGACTCCCGGAGTCACTGCCTTATTTCTGCGTGGTGTAGTGATGTTGGAGTGATTAGACTCTGCAATAGACTCGACTGAAATGACCACTGGCGAATCTATTGCCGGAATTGGTCTCGAATTTGGTGGAGCTGCTACTCCCATGCCTTCCACCCTGTCTACCATCGTATACGGTAGCGGATAGGATCCCACATCTATCGTAGGATCTGCTCTCATACCGTATGGCAGAGCGCCTACTGACTCTAGTCTGTTTGCGCCTGATGGCAAGTTTGAGGATGCTCGTGCTTCTCGTCCGGCAGATATTTGAATAGGCAAAGCTTTCTCCGGTACCCCTCCTAACTCAGCGGGCTCATCTTCTCCATTAAATAACATGACATCGCCACCCCTAGATGTATACTGAAAGTTTTTTTCGCCTCGTTCACGGGCTTTTCTTCGTTCCTGATAATATTTGTTAGCGCCATGTCTTCTGTATGCATAGATTTGGAAATACCTGAAGAATATCGAATGTTTCGCGTTGCTCGGTACCATACATTTTATACCACGCACGCCATTCTTTAGGCAGATTTTTTGTAGGATGAGTTTTACGTCGGTTGACTTTGGATCCAAAATTTTGCCCGACTTCGTTTCCCTTGATGGCCTCCCAATGAGCTTTTTCCAAATCTTGAAGGCGCGCAATTGCCATCTTTCTCTCTTCTCTCTTTAGGGCGTTTCATTCATAAACGTGTAGTAATACTGGGTATTTGACGATGTTATCATTTTCAAAAAAATCTGCACATTATGTCAGTGATGAGATATCGATCTCTCCAGAACGCGTAAATACCAGTAGGTCGCGGAAAGAATTGAAACCCCTCCATGCAATGCACACATCGCCAGTCTTTCCTAGTGCGGTCTGGCTTTCTAGGCAACGTAAGGTTTGGAGACGCATTGGAGTTATGAGACTCAGAAAAAAAGTCTAGCGCAATTCTTTTGCCAGCTTATTACCACTTCTTTGTACTCGTCGTTAGATAATGTGACCATAAAGCTCTCAAAGAAGACAACGTCAATTTGGAAAGCTGAAATGCTTTTTGGAAGTGTATCTACAGCTCCAGTCTCACTGGGCTGTTCTTCATCTGTCATTGTAAGCTTAGAATGATCATACGTGCAATTATCCATTTACCTGTCTCCATCTCCACATTCCTAAACACAAACTTTGAGCCTCGCGGTCTTCTATGAATCTCCACATTAGCGTACCGAATCGTTTGGACAAGATCTTTTTCCGTTTTTGTTTTATTGATTCCATGAAGAGGCGTCTTAAATTCAGCATAAGAAACTTCCTCGCCGTCCATACACATCTTGGCTTGAATCAGATCGTATTTGCCAAAATCAAACCCCTCCTTTAAGGTGACTTCGATATAATACGAAGCTTTAGGCTCTGCCATAATATATCTTTCATCATGCGGATTGGGAGACCCTCCACTGGGTTCGAGTTTGGCGTATTCGTCATAATATTTACCTGGATGCTTTTTAACATGTACTTCGATCTCGCCCTCTATACCAGACATGATAGCCGTGATGAGCGACGTTTTTAAGTTTTTAAATTCGTGTTCGTGATACTTGAGAGCTTTATTGAAGACGGATAAATGCAATTCTTAATTCGGAAATATGCTGAGGTCTTTTCAGTCTGGAAACTCGCAAAGCGTGAAGACTGATTGTGATATATAAAAATTAGCAACAATAGAAAAGAGTCACGGGACTTGAAGTGAATGATCATAACGAATGCCGTCTAGCTACCTAGGTAGTTTAATTACAAATTATTGTGTGCAGTATAAGAATATCATATGCTAATTCATATTATGCACTTCACTCGCTGGTGAAATAGTAAAGATTGAGCCTCTGCATTGCCACTGATCAAGTACTAATAAGGTATAGAGAGTTTTAAGTATGCTATCAATGAAAGAAAAACTGGTAAGTATATTGGAACCTTCCCCTACGAAATTGTATTCAACCTATAAAAACTGTTCATCGCCGACCAGATGAGATCCCACAACGTGTGATCATTAAGAGGTAGACGTTTGAATCATTCCGTCTTGATTCGCTTCTTAGATCTCGCTGCATCAATTCTCTCCTGCAAAGCATCACGCTCCCGCTTCATTTTGATAACTCTCTCTTCTTGCGGAATATCTTCCTTCGGTTTCTCAAGTGCTGCCTCTTCCTTTCTCAACTCCTCGTCCGCAAGTGCAATCTCCTTTTCCTTCGCAGCTAGGCTTAAAATTGGATTCTTGGTCTCAGAGACGATGATGATTGAATCATCGTCGTCATCAACAATGGGCGTTTTCTGCTTGATGATATCTACAGTTGTGAGCCGTTGCCCATCTGAGGAGTTCGCCATAGCACGTTGTATCTCTTCGCACTTGATGCGTACGCCTTCTTTACCAGACTTAGCTCTCTCTTTTTGTGTGTTGTATCTACTCCTTTCGAGAGGATTTGTGGAAAGCTCATCGTCTTCTCCGTCTAAAGAAATGATTTTGCCCATAATGTTTTTATACTCACGCTGGACGATACCTCGCTCACGGTCTTTCTTTTTCTTCTAGTATAGTTTGTCAATAACCTCCCCTGCATTGATATCGACGACTTGAAACGAACCTGAAGACTCTCAAACGCCTTTTGTTTCTCAGCAGCGTACATTTTGTCCCAATGGCGCCATTCCCATGGATGTTCCTCTGCCTTAACTCTGCTACGAACCAGGGGAAGCACCATACCAGATTCTTTTTCTCGATCTTCATGCCATTGTTTCTTGCTCAATTCTTGCAACTCACTCAAAGCGGTCTTTCTTTCATTGTCATTTAAGACGCCCCAGGAGTAATGGTGAAGCGGTGGAGGATATTTGACGATGCCCACTTGCTCCAAGAATTCTGTACGACATTTCAGCGGATATACCAGTGTTATGGCTGCTAGAGGGGTTGACCTGCGGTTCTACCATGAAAAGTAAATGTTCCAGAGGCTTCAGTAGAGTAATAAGTGGTGGTCGTACGGTCCGGCTTTTTGGGAGAGTAATGGGGTCCGACTTGTAAATAGAATTTACAGTCGTTTCCTTCCGAGGAGCCTTTGGTTTGCCACCAACAAAACTATACATATAAGCTTTTATTATATGAACAGTGAAAAACTATACTTACCCAATAGCAGAGCTAATTCCATGCTTCTGGTAGCTATCTTGGTCAATCTTCTTTACGTCCCAGATATTCTTGGTGTCTAGCTGATTCTTTTTGGTCTTGGACCCAAGCTTAGCATTGAGCTTCATCTGATTCAAGCTTGGGAACCGAATCTCTGAACATGCTTTCTCCCAGTCTGATAGCGCCTTCTTGTACTCATTGTCAGAGAGTCTAGTGGTAAAACTTTCGATGAAATATAGCTTCACAGCGAATGACATAAGATGATCCGGCTTGATACCCATGAGATCTGTTTCTTCGGAAAGTCTCTTGTTTGTCACACCAACCTTTAGGTATTAGTCAATCATGATATTTGATCCTTAACTGACCGATTTCTATTTTCCTGAACGCAAATCTTGCACCAAGCATTTTCTGACCGTCAATTTCTACATCAGCATACTGCATCTTTTGAATGTGATCTATTTTTACGTTTCTGTTTGATTCTACAACGTGCCTCGATAGAAGGGCAATTGAGGAGATAGAATCATCCCTGTCGGGCAAGTGTACAAAGGCACCAATGGAGCTGTATTTGCCGATTTTGAACCCCTCCTTCAAGGTGACTTCAATGTAGAAAGTGGTGTCAGGCTCTGCAACAATATACCTCTCTCGCTCAATATCAGTGCTTTTTTCCTTGCCTTCAACTTTGATGTATTCATCATAATATGTGTCGTCCGGGTATCTCTTGATTCGAACCTCGACCTCACCTAATTCTGTTTTCAAAATAGCCATGATGAGCGAATCTTCTGTGTGTTCATGAAAATTGAGAACTGAAATGTCGAAGATTGAAAGCTTTGTATTGCGAAATGATGATAATTCGAATATTCGGGACAAAAGGCCTGGAAATATGGAAAGCTGATTATCGTAAAAGGTTAACAACAGTTCAAGAGTTTCAAACAACAAAAGAATTGTTAGAAAAGATTTAACCTACCAAATCTATCAGAAGAGTAAATAAAACAAAGTAGTTAACGTGGTTTATCAGCATGTGGCCCATATCAGCATGTGGCCCACTTCGAAAATGCACTAAAATCGAGGTTTTTTTAATATTTATATTTTAATAACTAATCATTATTTTGAAAGAAAAAATCATAAAAAATCATAATAAAAATGGAACATTTATAATATTTAGATTTCTTTTTTAAATAATTTATTTTAGCTCGAAATTGTCACACTTTGCATTACAAAATCTCTTTTTCTTTAATAACTTTGATAAATATTAGAATTTTGAAAAAAAATTAGATTTTTGAAATATTTGAAAAATAAGGTTTTATATAATAAATTTTTGAGAAATTCTATCGACTAATAAAGAAAGTGCACGGTTACACATAGACGAATTTTGTATATAAAATGAAGTGGGCCACATGCTGATATGAGCTATATGCTGATAAACCACGTTACAAGATTTATTAAAATTCTCAATAATATTACATAAATCAAAAATATAAAAGCAAAAGAAATTGAAAATAATAAAAAAGGGAAAAAAGAATAGAATATTGACTACAAAACTATAAGATTTGAAATAAATAATTATAATAAATTAATTATTATTTTTTATTATATTAAATATACAAACATAATTTATAATCCAAAATAGAATCATATTTCTATTAACTGCCTCTTCACTCTGTACACAAACAAATTCTCTCGAAACTTCGATTATCATAGAAGATTAGCAATAGTTCAAGAATCTCAAACAATAAAAGAATTGTTAGAAAAAACTCAGCCTATCAAATCTGTTAAAAGAATAAATCAAACAAAGCAATTGCAAAATTTATTAAAATTATTAATAATATTATATAAATCAAAAATATAAAAGTAAAAAAAATTAAAAATAATAAAAAAGGGAAAAAAGAATAGAATATTAATTATAAAGCTAACGTGTTTTATCACCGAGTGGATCATATCATCAAGCAGATTATTTGAAAATACATCAAAATTAGCAATTTTTAAATATTCTTATTTTAATAACTAATTATTATTTTCGAAAAGTAAAAGAATTTAAAATAATAATAAAAGTTTAGTTTCTTAGAAATCTAGTTTTTATATAAATATTTCTATTATATTTGATAAAAAATTGAAAATGTTATGATTTTCATTACAAAAAAACTATTTCTATAATAATTCTTATATTAATTCGAATTTTAGGAAAAAAATTAGATTTTTATAATACCTTTATAATTAAATTTTATATATCCAATTTTTAAAAAATTCTATTGATAAATAAAAAAAGTGCACGGTTACACATAAACGAATTTTGTATATAAATTAAGTAATCCATTTGGTGATATGGTCCACTCGGTGATAAAACACGTTATAGGATTTGAAATAAATAATTAACGTAGTTTAACACCGAGTGGCCCATATCACCGAGTGGCTCACTTTCATCTCAATTTACATCTTTTTCTTTCAATATATGTTTTATTAATAATCTATAATAAATTCGAATAATCAAAAAGTTTGTATACTCCTTATTATTGAAACTATTTATAAAAATAAAAAACTAAATATTCAAAAAGTTATTATATTCTATAATATCCTTTATATAATTTTTCAATATAAAATAAAAGATTTACCTCTTTATATAAAAACTCAAACTAATAATTATAAAATTATAGAATTAAAAGAAAAGATAATTATTTAATATATATTTAATATAAATTCAAAAGGATTTTTATTTAAATTAAAGAATATAAAAAATATAACAAATTATATTTTTAAATTGAAAAATACAAAATATATTAGGAAGCTTTAGATATATTGATTTGTAAAATATTGAATTGAATTAAAGATATGTTTTAATTATATTTATAACTTTCAAAGAGTTTTTTATAAAGATTTTAAGCTTATTAAAAAATGGTTTCAATTAATTGTAAATATATAAGCGAAATATAATATTTTGAATAATAATTTCTATAATTTCGATAAAATAAGCTTTATAATAGAGATTATATATATAATAATAATTATTATTAATATTAAAAAACATAATAGAAATAAATTAGTACAATTAGGTAATTAAGAATGAACTATAATAATAATATATGGAAATATGAAGGATAAAACTATTCCCCTATTTCTAATAATTTAAGAATAGATTCATTTTTTTAATTAATATATCGAAATCGGTTTTCCTATAAAATAAATTATTAAATTTATATTTAATAAATAAATAAATAATAAATAAATTTAAAATAATTGAAATATTTTGATAAATATATTAAAAATCGAAAAAAAAGTAAATATCAAATATTAATATTAAATGAATATAAAAACTATAAATCAATAGTTTTTCAAGTATATTATAAAAAGAATAATATTATATATCTAAATTTATTATTATATTTAAATTATTTAATTCAATTATTTGATATTGATTATTTTGATAATCTGAAATATTTATATAGTATTCAAATCAATGAATTTATTAAGATATATATTAATTATATTTCAAAAATTAAATTCTTTATAATTTTCAAAATTATATATCAAGAATCAATTATCTTTTAGAATATAAAAATAGAGTTTTGAGGAATAGATTTAATTCTATTTAATTTTGAAATTATATTTTCAAAATTAGATATTCGAATTTGTATATTTACCCCCTCTTCTTTCAATTTAGATTAATAGATTTTTCAAATCCTTTATAATTTAATTAAAACTCTTTTTTAATTAATATTAATTAAATCTCAAATAACTTATTATCAATTAAGCTCTTTTATACCTATATTCAAAACTATATTAACTTTAACTAAAAATATAAAGAAATTAGCTTATAAAAATACATTTTTAAATATAGAAAATTATATACTTCAAATAATAAATAAAGTATTAAATAAATATTGATATATAAAAAAACTTAATTATATTAAAAAGGAATATTTATTAAATAAGAGATTTTTAATATATTATTTTAATAAAAGATTGATATTTAAATTTAATATAATAAATATCAAAAAGAAAGAAATTCTAATAAAGAAATATTTTTTAATTAATATTATAATAAATATAGAAAAACAGAATATAATATAAGAATCTATCAAAATAATATAATAGATTCTAGATTATTAGATTTTTAATAGTTTCAATTAATTGATTCAATTATTATTGAATAATATGAGTTTGAAAATATAAATTGAGGTGAAAATGAGCTACTTGGTGATATGAGCTACTCGGTGTTAAACTACATTATAATAAATTGATTATTATCTTTTATTATATTAAATATACAAATATAATCCATAATCCAAAATAGAATTATATTTCTATCAACTGTCTCTTCACTTTGTACACAAATAAATTCTCTCGAAACTTCGAGCTTGATTCTCTTTGTAACCATTCCCATCTACATGTCATCTCTAGAAAACACACGATCCTTCACTGAACGAACGAGGTTCAGACTTGCAGCAAGAAATCTCCGGGTCCTATTATCTGTCTCCAGACTCCTTGACTTCCTCGACGATCACGATCTTTTTCTCAAAATTTCCGACAGATCTTCCATCTTCTCCGTCTCTCGCCTGTCTTCAGCATTGCTTCTATAAATTCCTCAATAATATGATACTGCTGCTGAGCTTGCTTTTGACCAATAATGGGATTGACTATTTCCCCTGAACTCTAGGCATGGTTTTCCTTCCTCCAGATCTTTCTACTCTGCAGTATCACTCCTGAACTTTCCTGAATCACATGACGCTACTGCTGAAACTGCCTTCGAACATCAATGAAATCCCCCCTTTCCCTTAAAACACCGCGCATATACCCTTTTCACCAATCTCTTCACCCTGCAACACCTCTCCTCCACCCCCCTCAACACCACGAAACTAATACAACAACCCCAAATATCCCATCCAACCTCCGTACACCAAATCATTCCCCTCCCAGCTCCACAAGTCTTCGACACAATCACCAATTAAAATCCCGACCCCGCCTCCCATTAGCGATCCAAGATCCCCTCCATATGAAAGCCCACCATAAAATCACATCCAGCCCCCTTTTCAACTATGCACCTATGCACCTATCAACCCATCTTATGATACCAATATGATACCATTCCCAGCGACTCTTCCAACTACAACTCTTCACACCATCCGCGGGAATCATAGACTTGAATCCAAGGGCATCCGGAGAAAAGTCAATCAGTCAATCAGCTACAAGCCACCTGATAGATATCTGCGAGGGTAAGCTGGAGAGCTCTGATATATATACACATGCATACCTACACATCAGTGCTATCACCAATGCTAATGAATACCAGCCCCCAGTCCCCGACTCCCATACCTCCGCACCACAAGAATTATACTAATTCTCCAACAATAACCCAACCCTCATTCCGCACCACAAGAACCACGTCACATCACATCACATAAACCCATCCACCTAGAACTGACCAACTAACAAACTAACAAACTAACAAGCTAACAAACAAAAACATAACATAACATCCCAACCTTTCCAAATCTAAAACAAAATCCAAAAATTCTACTAAATCTTCCATCCATCATCCATCAAACCTAAAGCAAGACCATTTTCACAGAACATCATAGTATATCCTCAAAAAATACATTCCATTCCGAATATTAATTATATCACACCACACGATAATCGCCCCCCATCCCATCCCATCTCATCCCATAAAAAACCAACCAACCAACCAACCATCCCATCCCCATCCCATCAAAACCATCCATCCACCAAATACCATACATTCCAAGCCCACAATTCAACTTCAACTACATAGA